CATGTCCTGAGCCAAAGTCGGACATTTAACTGACTGAGCCACCCAGCTGCCCCTCTGAATATTCTTATAAACAGAGGAAAAGCACTCAAGGTCTGCATCTCGTTGAAAATTTTCTATTTAAAAAATGTGATTAGGGACGCCTGGGTGGCTCAGTGAGTTAAGCATCCGACTTTGGCTCAGGTCACGATCTCGGGGTCCCTGGGTTCGAGCTCCGCACAGGGCTCTGTGCTGACAGCTCAGTGCCTGGAGCCTACTTTAGATGCTGTGTCTCCCTCTCTCTCTGCCCTTCCCCCACTGACACTCTGTCTCTTAAAAAATGAATAAATGTTAAAAAAAGTAAAAAATAAAATAAAATAAATTAAAAAAAATAAAAATGTGATTAACTTTAAAGCACCAACCTGTACGGGTTTAGATGGGAGTCTAGTCAATTTCTAATATTCCCACTGATACAATGAAGGCTAAATACCTCCAAAGCATAGTTATCCAAGTATCCAAATTTGATTTATTGGAATCGTATGAGTTTTGACCCCTAGTCCTCAACTTAACATATCAGAAATCCAAATATATATATACATCTGATTATCTTAAGTCGAGTTAGTGCATTAGTCTAATTGCTTTTTGGCTTGTGTTAATTTACCACAAGTATGTCTGCATAAAGGGTCAGTGCTATGACAAATGATTTTCTGCAGTTACATGTGTCACCACTAGATGAGGCTACCACTGCTTTTGCTCTCTTGTCTTGAGAGAAATCATTGGCTACTAGATGACAATGAGGTGGAATTTTAAATCCTAGGGTTACTCTAAGTTTCCTTGCTTTGAGGAAAAGGTGACCTATCTATTTTGATAATTTCAATAAAATTCAGAGAGCTAAGTGTGAAAGTACTCATAAATGCCCTTAAAACTATAATCCATGACTTCTTTAGTTGGTAACTGTTTATTTTTAAAACATACCTATCATCGCCTGCTGCGCACTGACTTTTGTACCAGTTGTTGGCTTGAGGGAGGTACAAACATAGGACATCCATGGAAAGAAAAGCCTCTATTTCTTCTAAGATAAAAATTGGGAAGTAGCTTACTAAACACATTTTTACAAGTATAACCATGAATCCCCCCATTTTTACATAGTTTATAGATTTATTAGTGGGTAACAGGTAGATCCAGGATTTCCACAGATGAGAGTCACAGGAACAACAATCTAGCAGGAGGAAGGAGGTGGGGGTGGGGCTTGTTAGTAGCTACATTTTTATATAAAGAACATGACCAGGTGATTCTTTGCATTGTTCAAGGAGAAGGGGGTGGTGAGTGTTGGGTTAGAGAAGACTAACCATGAGCAGAGTTGTAACTTCTGACCATCAACTTTGTGCAGCTACTGTAAGGGGATCAGGTATCTTAGCTGGATTGAAACAGTTCTGGTAAATGAGGAAGGTGTCCAGGCAAAAGCTCTAGTAAGACCCTTTCTGAAGCTTAAGGAAGTCAATGGGGGAGGGGGTGGGGGGGGAAACTAGGGTAGATGAGAGGGTCCTCTAATTGCAATAATGGTACACAATGTAACTGGACCAGTGCTCACGGTGAAGACAACTGTAAACACTGACAAAATACAAAAACATCCTCTTTAAAGTCTCAAAGACTAAGAGTTACCGAACCAAGATTCTAGAGGGGATGGAAATCCAAGAGGCATTTAAGGATTCTTTTTCACCAGAGGCATTTACAGGTTTGGAAAAAAAGAAACTGAGAGGCTGAGCTAAGATTTTGACAGCCTCACAGGACCAAGGGAGGCAAAATCTGAGTCCAAGATCTGCTGAGCATAATGAGAAAGAGAAAAGCAGTCCCTGCTATCCTGGTACTCAAAGCCAGGACTGGGTGTTGACCTGTTAAACACAAACAATTTCACAGACCATCATCAGACATACCCACTCCATGCCTATGATGGTTGAAGACCAAAAAAGGCTAACTTCATAATCACGTTTGAACACAGGCAAAACATAAACATTATCACCACAAAAATTACCAAACACCTCCATACCCTGACCAATAGGAGTGACTGCTGTTTCTTTACAAATTACAGCCTTAGCCTTGATCTAATCTCCCCTCCTTGTTAAGATACCCAGTTACAGAATTACCACCGCCCTTGAGATCATCTAAACCAAACAGAGCCCGGCTTCATTAAGCCTTCCTCAATCACCTGATACATCCTTTAATAGGTCCTTACCAACATTTTCCTTCTGAGACGCCCCTGTTTCTCCATGGTGGGTGTTCCCCCTTGCTGCAATGAGTAAAAACTCAGCTTATTTAAAAAATCACTACTCACCTTTTTACCTAGTTGGGCAGTGGCTATTTTTATCACTGTAATATTCTTGAGCTTTGTGCTAGGACCCAGTTAACTTACTTGAAAACAATTTGATCCTTTTGGATCTTTGAAGATTTATGAGACAGGCCTGAAGCCATGCTTTATGCACGGCTTATTGCTCCTTCCTATTGAGGCAAGGCCCCTCTGGGTGTTCTATTTGTTGGCTTGTTGATCTTGAGGTTTTCCAATCGGACTGATGGATGCAGACGCTGTTTTCTGCCTTTGTGTGGGAGTCGGGTGCCATTACCTCTAATCCTTTCCAGTGGTTCCATCTCTGACTTATGTTTTTTCTGCATGTGCATGTGCTGATTGGTGATCAGCTGAATATTCAAGGAGAACCTTCAGCAGATCTCTGAAGCACCTTCTCTCTCTCTCTCTTCGCATGTGTGTGTAGCTCTGTCCTCTCAGTATTTTTCCTACGAACTGGAGTTTCCTTGCTTTCCCATATTCTCAGCTGCATATCCTCAAGATAAAACATTGGCTGGGCTTTGCCCTGGGGCAGGGGGTGTTTCTCCCTCCATGCACAGCTGTGTGGAATCCCACAGGGCAGTAAACTGGGACAATCGCAGTGCTGACCTCATTTGTTTCCTTCTCTTCTGGGATTGACCACTGCCTCCAGTTACCGGATACTCTTTGCCTTGCAAACTGTGTTTAAGTGAGAGGATAAATCCCAGTCCTTACTCTATCTTGGCCAGAGTGGAAGTTCTTGTAGACATTTAAGCTAAATCTTTAAATAATAGGAAGCCAAGAGATATGTTTTGTTTCAATCAGTTGGTTTTATCATTTGGAAGCATTAAAATTTCCTTTAAAATAAAGTATTTAAGAATATCAGAACCACTCTGGTTATTTGCAACCATTTTCCTGTTTGAAAATGTGTCATCAGTTTTTTAGACAATATTTATTTAGAAAACAACAGAAACACCACCATTTTTCATTTGGCAATTAAATAAATTTTTATGTGGTACAGTTTCAGTTGTCTGCCAGCTTTGCTTCATATTCTGTTCTGCTTTAACAATGTAAGATTTTTAGTGTTGCATTCTTCTGTTTTTGTTTTTAATAAATGTTGTGGAAGGCATAGTAAAGATACCAGCTTTTGAAAAACCATCTTCCTGTTAGTTATGGATTCAAAATTATGACATTAGCTGTTCTTCTTCTCTGCTGAAACTGAATGAGCTTAAAGAAGCCACAGAATGTGTTTACTGGCTGAATATCATCTCCCCACCCTCACCTCTCCCCACCCCTTCCATATTGTGCATAGGCCCTGGGTCTCTGTAGTATCAGAAACTTTCTTTTTTTTTTTTTTTTAATTAAAACTGTCAAAAGCATATTACAGACTCTTTATTAGAAAATAAACAGGGACATAACAATAATTCTGTGAAGAGCTTTCAGCGGGTTTTTAGAGATCCTTTGGAAAAGAGATGCAAGGCAGAAAAGAGGAAGTAGTTTTCAAAACTGTAAGTTGGCTGGGTGTTCAGAGTGATAGCATCAAGCAGAGACAAAGGTACCTATCTATGTCAAGGGGAGGAGATTCAACAGCCACACTAGCCAAATGGGAGAAGGAGTTTCAGTAACATGTCCTCTGTCAGGAGGCTATATGTCAGTCTGTTTATCCTGAAATCTCACCACCTGCAACACAGGCAGCATTTGGAAATAATTTTTAAGGCATCTGAGTGCCTGAAAGAATGTCCAACTGGCTTTATTTGCTCATTTTTCAGCTTGCAGCATGTTACAAAGAACAACCTTAACACAGGTCTAGGGTGGTGGAGGTTGGGGATAGCTGAAGGTAGCCATAGGAAATAAATACAAATTTGATAATAATGGAGGAACTGAAATAAACTTTGTAGAGTACTCACAGGAATTGAAAAAGATATGGCAACACGGGGTTATTTATTACATCTCTTTTGCCTTGAGGGCAGCATTTTTTTAATGTTTATTTATTTTTGAGAGAGAAAATGCTCTGACAGGGGGTAGGGGAGAGGCAGAGAGCTAGAGGGGGACAGAGAATCTGAAGCAGATTCTGTGCTGACAGCAGAGAACCTGGAGCAGGGCTCAAACTCACAAACCGTGAGATCATGACTGAGCCAAATTAGGATGTTTAACCAACTGAACCACCCAGGCGCCCCTTGAGGACAGCATTTTATCACAACACAGCATAATCACTGATTATTACTTTAAACATGACATGCATGTAAACAATTTTAAAGTTTATAAAACATTTAGAAGCTTTTTCACATGTTATCTCAAACTGATTCTGACAATGACAATAATCCTCTGTAACAATCATGGAAAGCATTATTGTCTCTAACTTGGAAATAAGGAAGTGACTTAGTTTAAGAAGGTGACATGTTCAATTCTCTTGATTCTAGGTCCAGTTTATAGCAAAAAAAACTTGAGTAATTAAAGTTGAAATCTATCGAGAACACTCGAAGGGGATGGAAACATCAATTACATGCTTGATAAATTTTCCATTAAAAATTAGCAAAAATCTTTGAACATTTTGACATGTATGCTTCAACTCTTGGGAAAGTTACTTTTAACTCATTCATTCTCACTTTGGTGAGGGCCTATGAGGTAATAACACCCTGTGCCAGAAAAAGGTAGAGGTGTGGTGTTTGGTCCCTACCATTCAGGAAATGATCATTTAAGGAAGAATATGAAGCACAAACCTGTTAGCAGAAGGTAAGGTGGACTAGCACTAACTAAACAAGTCCTTACAGTTAGTTAGGGACTGGAAGGGAGCATGTGTCACTTCCAAGGTGGCATTTGCCTTGTAATAAGTAGGTTTACACAGAGGACACTGAGAGAGATGTATTGCACATAGAGTGCATCTTTAATAAGAGGAGGAAATGCTGGGCACATTCATAAATGCAAAGTTCCCTTGCCTGCCTGAAGCATGGAGTGAATACAGGGCAATCTGAAAAGAAAAAAGGGGAAAAAAACTAAAAATATTGAAAACGCATTCACTCATTCAGCAGATATGAACTGAGAAGCCAGGCTCTGCTCTACACTCTGGGCATTCATCAGTGCGCAAAGTAGACGAACTTCCCGCCTTCAAGAAGCTTATGTTCTAGCAGAGAGGTAGATAAAACAAATAAATCAATACATCATGAAGTATCAGGAATTGATAAATGGTAAGAAAGAAAAAATAAAGCAGGCTGAGGTGATAGACCCTGGGTGGTAGCAAACAGGGGTGCATTCAGGTAGGAGTCCTGTTTTAGACAGAGCCACTAAGAAGAGTCTGAGTGACAGCAGAACAAAGTGAAAGAGTGAGATATGTAAATTCCCTAGGTCACAAACATCCCCAAGCTTATTCTCTTACCAGAAAAAAAAAATTAGAAACCCTTTTTGGTGAGAAATAGTTCTAAGTAATTAGCTCTGAGGTCACCTAGACCTTAATGAACTTTGTCTTACAAGATTTTGCAGATTAATCCCAGAACCTTGTTTCCTCATTCTCCCTCATCACTTCTGTTCTCATGGGCAGGGCAGAGTTCTGAGAAAACACACACAACTGAGCTCAACCCTGTGGCAAGGAGTATCATCAAATTACCCTCAGCTTCCTATATATCCTTCAACCCTTCCCTCCCTGCTGTAGAAATAGGTATCCAAGAGATGACCAGTGGTGCCTCTTGTTCTATGTGCCCTTTCCCCCACTCACCTGTTTCTAGCCAACCTTGCCTCCCCATGGTGCCCCCCTAACTACACTAAATGCCATTCTGAAAGACCCCATTCAACCCTAGGTATAGGCCACCTCCTTGACTTTTGCTCATTCTGCTTTATCAAATTGTTTATCCAGAATGAAATGATAAAATATAGTAGGAGAAAAAGAAATAAGACTTGAGAGTTAACTAGGATCTACTCATAGCAGTGGTTGAATGTTGAGCCAAAGCACAAGCTGCAAACTCAAATGCACACCAGGACAAGGCATGAATACCAGTATATGTAGAAGGTCTGTGAGACAATGAGAGTCAAGCTTGTTATACTTCACTTGAGAATAACACTTGTATGGCTCTATCACCCTTCAATGCCCTAGGATCTAAACAAAACAACCAGGCAGAACATGAAAGAATCCATGTGGCACATAGGCTGTCAGTTGGCCCTCCATGGTCTCAATATGGAGAGCTGCATCTTTGTGTAAATGGGAGGAAACCATGGAAAGGTTTTAAGCAGGGGTGGCATGATCAAGCAATAGTGTACAGGATGAATCTGCTAGCTGGCATCATACTAGTAAACTTCTGGACCAGGGCTTGAGGAACTAGGGAGACCTGTTTGTGAGGAGTTTTGAGGACCTAGATTGCTTTAATGACTGTGGGAATATTTTAAAAGTTGACTAAAAAGAGATTGAAAATGAGGAATCAAAATGACTTGGTAACATAGTGGAGAGGGGCATAATCAAAATAATTATATGGTCTAATCACTGATAATGGAGGAGGGTTTGAAGCAAGGAGGAAATCTGGTGCTTTCTGAACTAAAGTTCTTGTCCTAAGCCCCATTCGAATATACAAAAATGAACCATCCGGTGCTGTAGTCAGGAAGTATGCAAAGTTCTTTTTTTTTTTTTTTAATTTTTTGTAAACTTTATTTATTTTTGAGAGGGAGAGAGAGAGAGAGAGGCAGAGAGAAAGGGAGACAAAGAATCTGAAACAGCTCCAGGCTTTGAGCTGTCAGCCAGAGTCCATGTGGAGTCAAACCCACGAACTGAAAGATCATGACCTGAGCCAACTGAGCCACCTAGGTGCCTAGGAAGTACGCCAAGTTCTGAGTCTAAACAGAAAGTGAAATTAAAAGTAAATTCTGCTTCATTCAAATCTCCAACAGTGTGGATTAAGGTAACACATCAACATTTCTCTAATTTTTCTTAAAACTCAGAATTTTTCAGTGATGATAATGACCTGAATTTAGGGTGTAAAACTGCTGTATTGAGATCTTGTAATCTAATCTGAGGCTCTGGAGAAAGGGGATGAATCTGGCATTACTGCCTTGAAAAATATGTGAACTTAAGGTTGGGAATTGATTCAAGAATCCTTCTGTTGTAACGACTCAACTCTTTTTTTAAATTTTTTTTTTCAACATTTGTTTATTTTTGGGACAGAGACAGAGCATGAACGGGGGAGGGGCAGAGAGAGAGGGAGACACAGAATCGGAAACAGGCTCCAGGCTCTGAGCCATCAGGCCAGAGCCTGACACGGGGCTCGAACTCACGGACCGCGAGATCGTGACAGTCAGACGCTTAACCCACTGCGCCACCCAGGCACCCCACGACTCAACTCTTTTTTGGAGATCTAAATTTAGCCTTTCCCAAACACTGACTGCAATTCCTGTGTCTTCGATGTTTTGTTCACTGCAATGCTAGTGAAGGTGATCAATAATATAAAGGAAAGTTCCCTAGACTAAAGATCAAAGGACTGTATTTTAGTCCTAATTTTGCTTCAAATTCCCCATGTGATTTTGGGAAAGTCATTTCTCAGCTTCTTTATCTGGATGCCAAAGACTTACACTCGCTGGCCTAAGTCCCTATCAGATCTAACATTAAAGGCCATATGAGTAAATAGAAATGCCTTTCTCTTCAGTCTCACCAATAAAATACAGCTTTCCAGGAGTATGTCCATTACAAGTAGGGGAAAAAACTAATCTTAAATTTAGGCCAGAGATTCCAAGTTATAATAATTTAATATTTTACCTTCATTATGTGCTTTGTATATGCTAATTTCAGTGCTATGCCAAATTCTTCACATGAATTATTTCATTTAATTCTCCTAAAGTAAGGATGGTATGATTATTACACTGTTTTTTTAAGGTGAGGAAACTTACGCTCAAAAAAAATAAGAAAATTTGCCCAAAAATACAGGTAAGTGTGCTGGAACTAGTATTGGAATCTAAACACTCTGATTCCCAAGCTCATGACCTATCAAATAAGCAGTTTCATTTTTTAAGCAATCATAAATTTAAGCTAATAAACCAATGATGGTTTTGTGTATCAGAGGTTCTTGGAACACTGATGTTTGGTAGCCATGATTCAATGCTTATCTAAAAAAGAGAAAAGTGTCTTTTTTTTAATAAAAAAAATTCCCCAGCTTTATTGAGACATAATGAACATATAACATTATGTAAGTTTAAAGTGTACAGAGTGTTGATTTGATACAATAATGTATTGCAAAATGATTACCACCATAGCATTAGCTAACACCTCCATCCCATTACATAATTACCATTTCTTTTTTGTGGTGAGAACATTATGGATCTACTCTTTTTTTTTTAATACTTGTAAGTTTATTTATTTTTTTATTTATATATGAAATTTATTGTCAAATTGGTTTCCATAGGATCTACTCTTTTGAAGGTACATTGAGAATCTATTCAACATTCAAGTATAAGATAGAGTATTATTACCTATAATCATCATGCTGTACAATAGATCCCTAGAAGTTGTTAAATCTTTTAACTATAAGTTTGTATCCATTTCCCCCACTGCACAACTCCTGGTAACCACCATGCTACTCTTTATTTCTCTGAGTTCAGCTTTTTAAGATTCCAAACATACTTGGTGTATAGTACTTATTTGCCTTTCTCTGTTTGATTTATTTCACTTAGCACAATGTCCTCAAGTTCCATCCATTTTATTGCAGATGGCAGTATTTCCTTCTTTCTCATGGCTGAATAACATCCCATTGCAGAAATACATACCACATCACCTTTACTTGTTGATCCATTGATGGACACTAGGTTGCTTCCATATCTTGGCTTTAGTGAATAAGAAGTGTCATCATTTGACCATTAGTCTATTCTTCTTTTTGTTTTTGTTGTTCTGGTTCCTTTAACAATATCTGTTTGTTTACATGAATATTACAAATTAGAAAATTAAAATAACTGGATAATTAATTCTAAAGAACTTGTTAATGATAAAAAAGAAAAGGAAAGGAAACCATTCATGGATTGAGTTGGAGTTGGAAATAAGTAGAGGCAGCTGGCAGGATGGGAGTCAGAGCTGAATCATGTAAACTAACCGTATTGTTTGTCTTAATTTTATATTTTATATTTTTACCCTTTGGATAAGAAGAAATAATCTTAATTCTATTTAGAGGCAGTGAATTCAGTTTGATATAATTTCATTTTCAAAGGTAGCCTAAGATGGCAAGCACCAAAACAACTTTTTAAATATTTTCACTGAGAATATTATGAACTCAAAATTTTATTCTATAGTTTTTGATATATTGGAATTATGCCAAAGTTAAAAACCTAACTTGACCAGCAACTTTTCCACCCATGGCTATAGAATAAGGCCATTCAGAAGATGTTATTTATTGAAAGAGATAAAGTTCAATGCTATTAATAATAATATCTGGCATCCAAAAAAATGTAGAGTTTCTTTGTGACTCATTAAGACAAAATAGAGACCAACTGTGCAGCTTATTCTCAGGTGTCCAGAATACTCTTAGAATGATGTAGACAAATGTTAAACGCATTTAACATGCAATGAATTTGCATACCTGCCTTATGCTCTTTGCATAGGAATATAGAGGGAATTCTATACATGCAATTTTGAGGCAGAGTCCCTTCATATGAACTCTAAATGATTTTTATTTGTAATAACCAAATGATAGCTCAATTTCTACTTTATTGTGTGGTTATTGGCTTGATTCTGACAGAGTGCAGGTTTTCTCCATTCACATATCCACTTTTATTTTTTTTAAGTTTTGTTTATTAACTGGATTCTTTTTTTACATGCTATAAATGTTTTTGTTTTTTGTTTTTTTCCTTCTAGATCAAATCCACACATTGATCAGTGTGACGTAACTAGAGCTAGTGCAGTGCTGGAGAATATTGTGAGATTTAGCCTGGATATTAATCTGTCTTCTGGAAAATAGATTTCTGAAACGGCCAAATCATGCAGAAAATTAATATTTAATATTTATATGGGATTTTACTGTCCAACCATAATACCCAAAATATGCATTTGTTCTCAATTTTCAATGCCATCTATTGATCAGTTCAATAAGGGCCTGGGGTTTAGTATCCACCAACGGGGAACCATTTCTTTGGAATGAGCTAAGGTTCCCCAGCATGGTCATTACCCTTCACTATGATTGGTCCATCCAAATCTTACCTCCCTGGGCTTTATCACATCTGAGAAGATTGGTCAGAGATGCCGCTCTATATATCATCTTGCACAGCAAAGATCTTGAAATCATGAATATCATCCTTTGATCAGAGGAAGATTTGAGATACAGGAAACCAGGAAAAAAGCTGAATGTTTTGAGTTTTGCTGCTCATCAACAAATTGCACTTCTGGCTCTACAGAAACTCATGGCTGATTTGAGTTAACCTGTGGCCATTGACCTCTAGGCCAAGTCAGCCGATGGTTTTGAAGGGTTTTATAAAAGCACATACAGATCTTGTGGTGGTAAAACAAGGTAGGACATTGCTCTAGCTGTTTAGTCTCTTGTGATTACTTTCCTAATGGGTTACATCTTTTTGCCAGAAACACATTTCAGCAGTCATTTATGGAAAGCTCAGTAAACTGTGAAAAACTTGGAAGAAGAAGCAGCTCCATCATTTCTTAAGGAAATCTCGGTAAAGATGGGAGCACAGAGTGCAGAAGCATAAACAGCTAGAGGGAGAATCACTAGAAGGATACACCAGTATGTGACTGTAATAAGGTAAACATGTTTATGTGCTGGGGGGAGGATGGTGATGGATGGCACAGAAAGGTGAAATAGGGCAGGTTTCTCAAAGGAGGTGAGTCTTGATATGGGACTAGACAGAAATGCAAATGAGATTTAGCTTGAGAGAGAAGAAGGAGAGTGTGTGTACATTGCCCAAGAAATGGCATGACTCAAATCCAGGAGGCAGGAACAAGTCTGGAGAATTGACAAATATAGTCAATTTGATCAGTTCATGGTTATTGAACACTACATGCTATATGCCAGGCACTGTTCTAGGCATGGAATGTGTAGTGGTGAGATGTGTGGGAAGGGACAACCAGGACAAGAAAATAAATTAAACGGACAAGGTAAATGATAAATGCTATGAAGGAAATAAAATAAGGTGCTAAAATAGAAAGAAAGGGTAGCTGGGGATTGGAACTAATTTATCTAAGTGGTCAGGAAAGTCCCTGCCAAAGAGTTGCATTTAAACTGAGAATAGTGTTTTTTTAAAAAAAGGAAAAAAATCATGAGGACATCTTTGGGTAGAGTATTCCCAGAAAAGGGAGCAAGAAGTACAAAGGGTCTGAGGTTTGACTGATTGACCAGCATGGCTTGAGGACAGTGACAGTGGATAGAAGTAGAGTAGAGAGGGGTCAGATCATAAAAGACTTTGAGCCTCTTGCAAGGAGTTTAAACTTTTACTCCAGTGCCATGGGGATTCATCAGGAGGTTCTGATCCGATGTATGCTCCATAAAGCTCAAGTATATGTTAAGAATACATTATAGAGAGGGACGTAGAGGACAATAATCATTTAGGAGGTCATTGCAGTGGTAGAACCAAGAAATACGGGTAGCTTAAGCCAGGCTAGTGACCATGTTTCTGGAGTGAAGTGATGGAACTTGGCATTTGTTTTAGAGGGTGAAACAGACAGAATTTGGTGATATATTAGTTATGTGAGATTAGAAAAAAAGAGGAATCAGTGGTGCTTCATAGTGGATGATTTGGTTGTCCAGGGCCAGGGTCCATCTGGGAGGGAAGAGGAGTCTAGTTTCAGTGCTTTCCCACCTTTTATCAGGGACATCCAATTGCCAGTTAGAAAAACCTAAATACAATGGCTTAACCACACAGAGGATCATTTTCCTCTTGCAACAAGAAATCCAGAAACAGGACAGCTCAGGTATGTTACAGCAGTCTTCAGTGTTGTCCAGGACCCAAGCTTCTTCTACCTCTCTGCTCAGCACCCTTGGCACGTGGCCTTCCTCCTAATACAGAATTATTTCTGCACCTCTAGGCATCAAGTCCACATTGTAGGTGGGAAGAAGGGGGAAAGAAAGGGGGAGAAAAAGGCAAAAAGAAACATTCCAACTGAGTGTAATTCCTTTTACAAAGTTTTCTCACCCAAATACTGACGAAGCCAGAATGAGTCATACTGCCCCACCAAGCTGCAAGGGAATGTGAAGAGGTGGTTCTTTTATCTGGACTCACTGTCTTCCTGAGTAAAATCAGAATTCCATTGGGAGTGAAAAAGGAAAGTGAGTAGGTGACTTTAGCAATGTCTGCTACATATCACTTCTTTCCCACCTTAGGTGCTCACTACCCTCTGAGGACTCCTGTGACCACCCTCCCCCCCCCCCACCCCACTTCAAACCCGCCCGCAGTACACTTTGGACAGTCCTTCCCCAGGCCCAGATCTTTGCCCCTGGGGATTCTTCATTGCAGCCTCAACTCTCATGGGTCTGTTCTCAGGCCAACATAGTATTGGGTAGGAACTTTATCAATTTCTTCTCCCTGAGGTAACATGTGACCAGTAATGTTGTTTTTTTGTTGTTGTTGTTGTTGTTTTCATTTTTTCAAGTGACAAAGAGTCCACTCAAAGGAAATAGTTTTTAAGGATATCATTTTGGGAGATGTGGGAAACTGGAGGGGAGATTTTTTTGAGTAAAGGTGGAGGACTTTTCAACATGTCTCACATAACTAACTTTAGGCTATTTCTGACTCTTCTTATGATTAATTGGTTCTCTTCATACTCATTCCCCTAGTAGGTCTAATATGTAGGATGATTTTGCAGGACAATGTCAACAGACTCTTATGGATACCTTTTTCTCTCTCTCTCTCACTGTCTGTCCCACACACACAAGTACAACTTAACCTAAAATATAAAAATAATCTAGTCAACAATCATTCTTTGAGAAGCAATAAATCACTACTTCATATGCAGAACTAAAACTAATGGTGCAAATAGCAGAAAAAATATTAGATTTTTTGCTTTCCCCATGTAGGCTTACTATAAACAAAATTTCACAATAGTGAAAATTATTCTAGGCGTGTGGAATTCCTTTACACGTGGTAGCTGCTACCAAATCCAAATAAGGCCCCAAGTTCCAAGCAAATCGTTTAGATCGCCAGCCTCATCTTTCCAATCTGTATTGTAGATACAAAATAAATTGACTCACAATTATCCTGACAGCCCCTCTTTTTTCCCTCCGAGTCCTTCTTACTCTTTATCTAACCCTAGAGATTTTTTAATTCTTCCCTCTTTCTCCAATAAAAATCTGCTCTGCCAGTTTGTTTCTTAATGGAAGTTTAAAGTTCAAAGAATAAATCTATAATTCAATTTCAAGTATTATCAAGGTGATGAGGTATAGAGATTTGTCAGAATATCTATGTACCTATTATAGTCTGAGAACTGGAACTACTTTGCCGGCAAGCAGAGAGAGCTAGGCATTTCTGGAAGTTAGGTCCCCCATGGGGTACTAATGGTACAAAGTATGAAAACTCAGCTCCTTGCCTTCAGTAGGGGAAAACTTAAAAGGTATAGTTTCCATTCCAGAGCTTCTCCAGAGATCAGGCTGAAACTGGACCCAACCTGACTTTTTCCCCTACCCTGTCCTGCTTCCTTCACTCCTTACTGGTTTTCTGGAAGCATGTTTTTAATAAATCAGGGTCTGCTTTCTGAGAACACAACCTAAGACATCACTCATATTCACAAGTATTCAAATCTCTGATTAAGGGCCCCTTAGGTTTAAAGACAGTGCTGAACTACTAATATCTTAGTTTTGGTGTCAAATTGATTGGGCATGCCCATGTCAGTTGTTTAGTGACTAAGGATCCTGGTAGGGTCATTCAAATTCTCTAAGCCTCAATATCCTTGTCTACTATGAGTATGAAGGAGACCATGTAAGTAGAATGCCCAGAACTGTTCATTATTCATGATTGGCAGCTACTAAACAAAATTTTACCCCGGTTTTATTTAAAAAGACAGCCTAGATTCACTAAGATTATAGTTTGGGAAGTTTTAGAAGTCAAATATATCACCTCCAGGTTTGATAAGCTGTGTTCTGAAGGTATAGTTCATTATTTTCTTGGTTTCACTTGTATAATCTGGCTGGTGGCTTCTTCATTTCACAGAATAATTGCAGTAATGGATTTTGAGCCAACCCATTCACGGATTGGTTTTTCCTTGCTTTCATGAACCACTGTATGTATGTACATATATACATACATATATACATATACATATATATATATACATATATATATATATATATATATATATATATATATATATATAATTTATTGTCAAATTGGCTTCCATACAACACCAGTGCTCATCCCAACAGGAGCCCTCCTCAATGCTCATCACCCACTTTCCCCTGTCCCCCACTGCCCGTCAACCCTCAGTTTGTTCTCAGTATTTAAGAGTCTCTTATGGTGTGCCTTCTTCCCTCTCTGTAACTCTTTTTTCCTCCTTCCCTCCCCCGCTGGTCTTCCGTTAAGTTTCTCAGGAGCCACATATGAGTGAAAACATATGGTATCTGTCTTTTCTCTGCCTGACTTATTTCACTTAGCATAATACTCTCCAGTTCCATCCACATTGCTACAAATGGCCAGATTTCAGTATTTCTCATTGCCAAGTAGTATTCCATTGTATATATAAACCACATCGTCTTTATCCATTTGTCAGTTGATGGACATTTAGGCTTCTTCCATAATTTGGCTATTGTTGAAAGTGCTGCTATAAACATTGGGGTACAAGTGCCCCTATGCATCAGCCCTCCTGTATCTTTTGGATAAATTCCTAACAGTGCTATTGCTGGGTCATAGAGTAGTTCTATTTTTAATTTTTTGAGGCACCTCCACTCTGTTTTCCAGAGTGGCTGCACCGGTTTGCATTCCCACTAACAGTGCAAGAGGGTTCCCATTTCTCCACATCTTCTCCAGCATCTATAGTCTCCTGATTTGTTCATTTTAGCCACTCTGACTGGCATGAGGTGGTATCTCAGTGTGGTTTTGATTTGTATTTCCCTTATGAGGAGTGACATTGAGCATCTTTTCATGTGCCTGTTGGCCATCTGGATATCTTCTTTAGAAAAGTGTCTATTCATGTACTCTTCTCTTCTTCATTTCTTCACTGGATAATTTGTTTTTTGGGTGTTGAGTTTGGTGAGTTCTTTATAGATTTTGGATACTAGCCTTTTATCCAATATGTAATTTGCAAATATCTTCCTAGTCTCTCTGTTGCCTTTCAGTTTTGTTGACTATTTCCTTTGCAGTGCAGAAGCTTTTTATCTTGAGGTCCCAATAGTTCATTTTTGCTTTTAATTCCCTTGTCTTTGGAGATGTGTCAAGTAAGAAATTGCTGCGGCTGAGGTCAGAGAGGTTTTTCCCTGCTTTCTCCTCTAGGGTTTTGATGGTTTCCTGTCTCACATTCAGGTTCTTCATCTATTTTGAGTTTATTTTTGTGAATGGTGTAAGAAAGTGGTCTAGTTTAATTCTTCTACATGTTGCTGTCCAGTTCCCCCAGCACCATTTGTTAAAGAGACTGTCTTTTTTCCATTGGATATTCTTTCCTGCTTTGTCAAAGATTAGTTGGCCATACTTTTGTGGGTCCAATTCTGAAGTCTCTATTGTATTCCATTGGTCTATGTGGATGAACCACTGTTTAAAGCCAACTTTTCTCAAATAGTCCAGTGAAGAAATGGGCAGAAGACATGAATAGATACTTTTCCAAAGAAGACATCCAGATGGCCAACAGATACATGTGAAGATGCTCAACATCACTCCTCATCAGGGAAATACAAATCAAAACCACACTGAGATACCACCTCACACCAGTCAGCTAAAATTAACAACTCCAGGGGCGCCTGGGTGGCGCAGTCGGTTAAGCGTCCGACTTCAGCCAGGTCACGATCTCGCGGTCCGTGAGTTCGAGCCCCGCGTCAGGCTCTGGGCTGATGGCTCAGAGCCTGGAGCCTGTTTCCGATTCTGTGTCTCCCTCTCTCTCTGCCCCTCCCCCGTTCATGCTCTGTCTCTCTCTGTCCCAAAAATAAATAAACGTTAAAAAAAAAAATTAACAACTCCAGAAACAACAGATGCTGGTGAGTATGTGGAGAAATGGGAAGCCTCTTGCACTGTTGGTGGGAATGCAAACTGGGGCAGCCATTCTGGAAAATAGAGTGGAGGTGCCTCAAAAAATTAAAAATAGAACTACCCTATGACCCAGCAATAGCACTGTTAGGAATTTATCCAAAAGATACAGGAGGGCTGATGCATAGGGGCACTTGTACCCCAATGTTTATAGCAGCACTTTCAACAATAGCCAAACTATGGAAAGAGCCTAAATGTACATCAAGTGATGAATGGATAAAAAAGATAAGGTTTATACATACAATTGAATACTACTTGGCAATGAGAAAGAATGAAACCATGCCATTTGCAGGAACATGGATGGAACTGGAGGGTATTAAGCTAAGTGAAATAAGTCAGTTCAGGGAAAGACAGATATCATGTGTTTTCACTCATATGTGGAACTTGAGAAATTTAACGGAAGACCATGGGGGAAGGGAAGGGGAAAAAATAGTAACAGAGAAGATGGGAGGCAAACCATAACAGACTCCTAAATACGGAGAACAAACTGAGGGTTCTTAGTGGAGGGACGGGAAGAGGGGGTAATGGGTGACAGACACTGAGGAGGGTACATGTTGGGATGAGCACTAGGTGTTGTATGTAAGTGATAAGTCATGGGAATCTACCCCCAAAACTAACAGCACACTGTATATACTGTATGTTAGCCAACTTGACAATAAATTACATTAAAAAATTAAATTAAAAAAATAAAGCCAACTTTTCAATCACGATAAGAAGAGAAAGAGGACACATATGCCAAAGGTATTGCCACTTTCGGAAACTTTGGGAGAATCATTCTTAAACTGAACCTTGGTCTTTGTTGCCTTTTTTTTTTTTTTTTAATATTTCTTGTTTCAAGATGTAAGCCATCAATTTGTTTTATCCGTCGACATATTATATAATAACCCCAATCCGTCTAGAAGTTAACATCATTCTCTTTAGGATGTTGTTATACCAGAAGCTTTTTTAAAAAAAGAAAAACAAAAAAAACCCCAAAGTGATTTATATTTTATTTGTATTCATATGAAAACAGCGTTCTTTTTAAATCTGTGTTACTTGGCCAATGATGACATTCAGAATCACCTAAAGCAGCTCAGCAAAATGAGCAGCCCAGAAGGAGCCAGGCCATCATAGGCCAGCAAGGAGCCCTACTCTGCTTTTCTCTCTGTCCTCCACAGTGACCGGCCTCCATGGCTGAAGAGGAGAAATGGTTCCGTAACACTAGACACTGAAATTCCCTAGATTTCTGCTTAATGCTGGTAAAAGTATTTGCTTTGAAATACTGGCAGAGCAGATCGAGGGGGACAAGTGACTACACTCCGCATGACACATATCCTAGTTTTTCCCTGATCACACAGACAGCAATTTAATTAGCCTACTCATTTCCACTTAAAAATGATCCTCTGCTTGAACTTCAAGTGTGTTTTCTAACTGAATGTTCATTTAAGGCCAGGTCAGTCTCTTTCCTGGCAGCTTTTTGATTAAGGTCATTTTTCATATGAATAATCATGGAGGGTAAAGTAAAAATATAGTTATTAAAGCCTTTTAATTAACATGCGATGCAAGTATAATTGCCATTTCATTCTATTAGAATTAATTTTTTTTATCCTTAGAAACCTCCACCAACTTCTCATTTTTAAGACACATAAGTCAATGTTTCGAAAATATTTTATGCAATCCTTGAATATCTGCATTGCCTCAAGTGACTTGTGCAGTTGTCTGGATCATGACTTTCCCAGAAAATACTGGCTTAACTTTCGGCTTCTCTCTTACATGTCCAACCCAGACTTTAATGGTTGACCAAAAAAGGACAACCGAATTAATGCTACAATCTTACTATGTGCATAATAACTGCAGCAATTAGGTGGGTTCTAGGAAGAAGCAATACATGCTAAATTCTCAATCTGTTTAGTTAAGAATACAAGATTCAAGGGAAATGACGTAGCTGGCCAAGCACTAGTAGAGGCAGCATATCTTTTGGGCATTTCTTTGTCCCCTTCATTCCTTAAAGGAACACACACTTGCTGGTGACACTTGCTATGCAGGAAAAGTTCTGCCAAAATTGAGAAAGCAGCTAAATTCTTGTCTAGCAACAAGTGTTCTGTACTTGGAACTTACATCACCAGTCCTGGAAGAACTTACACTCATACCCCATACACTTCCATTTAAGGCAATGTTAATCTACATGGGTTCTTCCAGGTTTGTGAACAAAACAGCCTTCATGGGCCACATTTTCATCTGGGGGGAGAAATCAGAGGGAATGCCCATCTGTCTCTTAGCCATTTGCACCACCAGTGTCTAGTGTCACAGACTTTCACTCCCTCATAGTCCTACAGCCTTGCCTCCCTCTCCTCTCCTGGCTCTAGCACACTTCACTGAATGATTTTTTTTTACTGAGTTTGGTCATAAGACTACAGTCATAATGCCCTCTCCCCAGCCCCTACCATGATCCTAACCTCTGTTAGAAGTATGTGCTCATAGAATTCTGGTTGAATCAGACTCCTTAAAAAAGAGATTGTTGTTCTGCAAAATTAACTTGTAGGGTAGAAGCAAAAATTACAGTCCTGTATATACTGCTACCTTCTTTAGAGTGCTTGGCCAATGTCATATGCTTTATTAAAACTGAAGGACTCATTTTTTAAAATAGAATTCTGTAGAATTAAATAGCACAAACATTTTTCTTTTAAGTAGGCTAGGCAGTTTCTGGTAATACTTCAAGCTATTTTGTCTCACCAAAGCAAACTGCAATCTTATCCAAACAGATAAAACATGCTTAACAAGCCCTGGTTAGTGCTGTCAAAAGCCAGATGCCTTGAAAGGGGTGTTAGGAGGGGAAAGCTGTTCTAAGAGTTGTTACCAATTTAAAGAAAGTAGAATTTTCAGATTACTGGACCTGTATCCATTCCATATTTTGGGTCATTGTACCATGGTGGAGACCATCTCTGGGACGAGCCATCCGGAGAAAATAAAGATAGAATTTGGTAATTACTCAGTGAATTTGATAGATGTGGCTGACCAGTCTGTAGGCTTAAAACTTCTTACTTCCTCTGTAGATAGGCAGAAGCTTAAATTACTAATGACCTCCTTGGCCTGCCTGCTTTCATTGCTGAATCAATGAAGCAAAGATAAAATAAGACTATGACTCAAGCTGTCACACAGCGAGTGAAAGAATGAGCAATGTCTTCGGAGTCACACGGTCACATCCACATCTTGGTCTTGCTGTGGAACTAGCCGTTGTGATCTTGGGCAATTCGGTTAACATTTTGGAGACTCTGTTTCCTCACCTGTGAAATAACACCTACCTCACACATAAATAATAAGAGGATTAAAAGATAATGAAAAGTATGTCACTCAGTTTTGTTTCCCATTTCCTTCTGCAACAGAGATTTATTTATCATACAACAAACCAAGGGCAAGGAGACATTCTTTGATATTTTTGCTTAGCAGTGCAGAACTTGAATTTATGCTGGTGTTGGAGATTACTGCCTTTCAAGGAAGTAGAAACATCAAAAATGTTTTTATTTTTTCAAGCAACCAAGTAAGATTTGGCATTATTTTCGGATCCCAAAAGTAGTACATTGTGTCTTCAAGGAAGTCCAATGATAAAAGAAATAAAGGGAAGAGTGGTCAGAGAATAGTATGATGCCTCATTGATCTCCTATAATGGCATCAAGTATCCTTCAAAGCATCAGGACCTTCCTCTAAGTTACCTGGCTTAAGTCATAGACATTGTAAAATACTGTGGTTTACAAATACTATTTTTTCCCCCTTCATGTAAGTTAAGATGATTGAACTAAAGGAGGCCTCTTAGAAGATCATTTTGAAACTACGGTAAAAATGAGGACATATCTTATAGCCTACATAGTTTGTGATTTCAACTCTGTGAGTGGCACAACCTCGTCAGGGGTCAAGGTAAGACTGAGTTCTAATTTTATACACTGTGCTGACAGCAATGAGTTTTCTTTACTTTCTTAAGCTTTCTCCCTTATTATCAAAGTATTATGCTTATTTCACAAAATAGAGATAGGAAAAAAATAAATAAGTTACTCATAATCCCATGATCAAGATATAATTACTGTTAATATTAGTGTAAGCCTTACAAATATTTTCTGTATGTATGTCAGTATACAAGAGTGTATACGGTAGTTGAATATACCTATGATTTACAAAATAATGTTTAAGATTATTTAACTCCATTTTCACCTTAGTATGCCATAACAATTGAAAGCTATTAAATATTTTTCTATAAGACTACATTAATAATTACTTAGTATTATACTGCATGGAAGTACCAAAAAAATTTTAATCAGCATCTTATTTTAAGACATTCACATTGTTTTAAATTGTTTTCTATAACTTTTTTCCTTAATGAGAGGAAGAATTCATACTTTTTACAGTCTTCATTATTTTCACAAATTTATAATATCCAACGATTATCTTAAAGAGTTTTGCAAATATCGGTAAAGCCATCATGATCACCATAATCATCATCATTGCCATCATCATCATCATCATCTCCTTACCCTGAGGCACCAAATGTAGACATAAAAACATTCAAAGAACCATGAAATATGCCTATGAAAAACATCTATAAAATGGCTATTTCAATTTATACACATATTATAACTACAGATGTGTAGATGTATATTATGAGCGATGCATCTCCATACATATCACAGTGTCTCTGCACACAGATACAGGTGTGCATAGATATAGATATATGAGAGTTCAGATGGCAGTTTACTTCAAGAGGGCAAGTTCCATTCAGCTTCCTAGGTTTCACATCCCAGCTCTACAATTTTCTACATGGGTAACTTGGAGCAAGTTACTTAATTCCCATGTGTTTCCATCTTTTCATAAGGTTGCTGAGAGGATTAAATTAGATTTCACATGTACACATTTAGCACTGTGTCTGATAAGGCACCAAAAAATGGTAACTATAAATACATCCTTCCTATAAAAGTTCCAAGGGACTTTAGGTAATTCAGAGCGTGAAAGCAGATCATGAAATGAAAGTGGCGCCATACTTGAAATCCAATAAAAGTGGAATATAATTTTAATTTTTCCACTTAATGACTATTTACTTTGGGGGAGTCAATGAACATATTTGGGCATTTTTGAGTTTAAAGTAAACCAGATGGGGAGGTGGATCCAGTAACTTCTTGAAGGCTTTCCACCTTATAGACCTATATTTTATTTGACTTGTGCTGGTAGTCATAACTCTGGAAGGCTAGCACTGAAGTACTAGAATGCGTGATTGTGATGAGCTAAAGTGGGATCTCATGATATGATTTGTTAATAAAGCTTGAAATTTAAAGATAAGTACCTAGGGAATGGATTATAACAGGAGACACAAGGTTTTTTATTATTTTTAAGACCGACTTTTGCTGTAACACTTTTTGGAACATCTTATCGCCTATTAATAGCATGCTTAATTGTATCACAATAACTTCTTTAAAATGCAGTCTACCATCCAGATGGCCAACCGACACATGAAAAAATGCTCAATGTCACTCATCATTAGGGGAATACACATCAAAACCACCATGAAATACCACCTCACACCTGTCAGAATGGCTAACATTAACAACTCAGGCAACAACAGATGTTGGCCAGGATGCAGAAAAAGAGGGTCTCTATTGCAATGCTGGTGAGAATGCAAACTGGTGCAGCCACTCTGGAAGACAGTATGGAGGTTCCTCAAAAAATTAAAAATAGAACTACCCTATGACCCAGCAATTGCTCTCCTAGGTATTTATCCAAGGGATACACACGCTGTTTCGAAGGGGCACATGCACCCCAATGTTTATAGTAGCGTTATCCACAATAGCCTAAGTGTGGAAAGAGCCCAAATGTCAATCAATGGATGAATGAATAAAGAAGATGTGGTATATATATACAATGGAGTATTACTCAGCAACCAAAAAGAATGAAATCTTGCCATTTGCAACTATGTGGTTGGAACTAGACGGTAAGTCAGTCAGAGAAAGATAAATATATGACTTCACTCATACGAGGACTTTAAGATACAAAACAGATGAACATAAGGGAAGGGAAACAAAAATAATATAAAAACAGGGAGGGGGACAAAACATAAGAGACTCTTAAATATGGAGAACAAACAGAGGGTTGCTGGAGGGGTTGAGGGAAGAAGGATGGACTAAATGGGTAAGAGGCATTAAGGAATCTACTCCTGAAATCATTGTTGCACTATATGCTAACTAACTTGGATGTAAATTTAAAAAATAAATTAAATAAAGAAAAAGAAAAAGAAAAAAAAATATTCAGGCACTGGAATAATAAAAACAAACAAAAAATGCAGCCAACCTTTCTTTGAGTGAGGGCTGTTAGGAATGGAATCGTGCTAAGAATTTGTGACATTCAAAAACTACTTCTGATCAACATTTCCAGGTGTCTGTCTACACATCCGCAGGCAAATGGAGTAAAAAACATTATACCTTGGAAGCATCATTAAAGCTCCTTGATTTTTATGAACATTACTTTGGTATCAACTATCTACTCCCCAAACTGGGTAGGTTCAAATTCCATGCCATTGTCTTTACTTTTGCTTAGACCTTGCTTTGATTTCTTTCTGTATATATGATTTAAATGAGTTACTGAAGGGGTTCGGTTAGCCCAGGAAATAATAACTTGTACCTCAAAGATGGTTCTTGACTGTAGAAAATAAAGTATTTATGAGAAGTTCAACTAGTGTGAATCATTTTTTATTCTTTTATCAGGTTCCTGTTAAAATAGCTGCATTGGGGGTATCTGAGGGGCTCACTCAGTTAGGCATCCAACTTAGGCTCAAGTCATGATCTCACTGTTCATAGTTTGAGCCCCACATCAGGCTCTGTGGTGACAGCTCAGAGCCTGGAGCCTGCTTTGGATTCTGTGTCTCCCTCTCTCTCTGGCCCTCTCCTGCTTGTGCTCTCTCTCAAAAATAAATAAACATTAAAAAAAAATTAAAATAGCTGCATTGTATATTAGATTTAACTGGATGAATTTTCCAGGGGCACCTAGGTGGCTCAGCTGGTTAAGCAGACTACCTTGGTTTTGTCTCAGGTCATGATCTCATGGTTCATTGGTGAGATGGAGCCCCATGACAGGCACTGTGCTGACAGCACGGTGCCTGCTTGGGATTTCTCTCTCCCTCTCTCACTGCCCCTCCCAGCTTACTCTCTCTCTTTCTCAAAAATACACACATACATAAATAAATGAATAAGTAAACAAACAAATAAATAAACATAAAAAATAATAACTGGATGAATTTTTCAGAGCACACAACTTTTTTCTGTACCATATTTGTATAACACCAGTAACCTTTTTAAACATTTTTTATTATGTTTATTTATTTTGAGAGAGAGAGAGAGCACAAGTGGGAGAGGGGCAGAGAGAAAGAGAGACAGAATCCAAAGCAGGCTCCAGACTCTGAGCTGCCAGCACAGGGCCCGACGCGGAGCTCGAACTCATGAGTATGAGATCGTGACCTGAGCTGAAGTCGGATGCTCAACCGACTGAGTCACTCAGGCGTCCCCACCAGTAACCTTCTTCAGAGTTGCCAAAGATTTATGTAAACTGCTGAAAATTGTCTCTCCAGCTGTTTATAGTGCATTTGCGTTTGGAAGATAAGAATGTGGCACAGGTTAAAAAAAAAAACACTTGGAGGAAATAGATAATTTGAATGTGCTAGTAGTAGATCTTTATATAGGAAGATACATATAGTCTATCTTGGATTAATTTTCTATCTTAAAAAAATAGAAGTTATGATTTTAATAATGTTGCAGAACATATCAAACCATGACTTAAGTTTTATAACTTATGTAGATCAGTTTTTAGAATTTCTGACAGTGACAAAACTTTTTCTTTTTCCCTTGGGGACGTTAAAGCATACTCCTCACCATGTCTTTGCTCCCTTTTACTCCAAACTCTGTGCAGTTTTTTCTTTTTTTTTTTTTAAAGGTTATTTATTTTTGAGAGAGAGGAAGACAGACAGAGCATGGAGTGGGGGAGGGGCAGAGAGAGAGAGAGGGAGACACAGAATCCAAAGCAGGCTCCAGGCTCTGAGTTGTCAGCACAGATCCTGATGCAGGGCTTGAACTCAAGAACTGTGAGATCATGACCTGAGCCGAAGTCAGATGCTTAATTGACTGAGCCACCCAGGTGCCCCTGTGCAGTTTTTTCTTAGAGGAGGTAAAAGGGACCATAAAAAGCCACCTCCAAGAGTTTATTCCTCTAGTTCCTGAGTCTCACTGCATTATTACAGTGCAGGTGCTATATACAGATATACTAAATTTACCTGTAATCTATTACTGTCCTTATATCAAAAGTCAAGGAAAGATCTGATAACAACCATCAACAATCTTACACTGTTCTTGAAAAATGTAGCCTTGAAAATTATATGAAATGCATTTAAAAAATAACTGAAAAGAAGCATGTACTTTAGGAAAAATCAAACTAGATATAAGTATCTCTAATGACTATGGGAAGTAATCCAATATAAAATCATCAGTGCAATTTACAAAAGGAATTATTCCACATTTGAAGTGCTAATGAATACTAATCTTTACTGGTGCTGATTTGTTTTTGATTGTCTTAGAAATATTTGTTTCCATCCAGTAGTATTAACCTGTATTAATTCCAGACAATATAATTACAAGCCAAGTGACTTGGTTTATTTCAAACTTTAAAAAAAGTACCTTTCTTTTTAATCAAACAGTACTTTTTCTGACCTACATGAAATTGATGCCAAATGATATACATGTACACATACACAGATACAATATAAATTAATATACATTACACCTGAGTTGCTTAAAGATGATTAAATTTGACTTTATTTCCTCAAGACTTCGTTAAGAAGTACAGGAAACATCAGGGTACCTGGGTGGCTCAGTTGGTTAAGTGTTCAACTCTTGATTTTGGCTCAGATCATGATCTCACAATTCGTTAGTTCAAGCTCTACACTTCTGTCTCTCCCTCGCTCTCTGCCCCTTCCCCGCTGGCACGCGTGCTCTCTCTCTCTTAAAATAAATAAAAAATAAACTTAAAAAAGAAGTAGAGGAAATATCAATGTTGAAAAGGAAATTGAGGTCAGAAATAATTGATAACCACAGCTTTCTTCCTCTACTGCCTTGGAAGGACATTTGCTCTTAATAGAGGCTATATGTTCTTGAAATACCAATTAAAATACTGACCATAGAGATTGCTTTTAAAACACATTTTCCTGAAATTACAATCCTATGTCTCTTTTATAGAAATGAGTTCATTATATGTCTTGATGAATCTCAAACATATTGGAAATTATTTGATACCTTTCAAAGTTTTTAACTAGTCTTAATATAAAATACGAGTGTTTTTAAATAAATCATTTTCTTAGCAGTAATGCACCCAAGGTATTTTCAGAATTTAGCACATGTCATTAGGTTACTTCAGCTACAACCAAAACCATATTGATAGGATTAATGCTGCTTAATAATGGGTACTGATTATTTTCAGTGCAACTACAAGATACCATGTCAATGTTACGATGGTCTTAAAGTTTTCAGAAAGTCTGCTTATACATTAAAGGATCACAATGTATTTGAGGAGGAAGCAAATTCCATTTCTGGTGCAGAAGCCATAATGATCAAATATGGTTGTTCTTATTTCTTAGATCTAGTTGCCATTCCTGACTTTGAATCTGGAGCCATGGAAAATTGGGGCCTCATCACATATCAAAAAACATCACTGCTCTTTGGTCCCAAGACCTCTTCTGTTTCTGATAGACTGTGGGTCACCAAAGTCATAGCCCATGAACTAGCACACCAGGTACTTAACACTCATGACATTCTTTTACTATCAGGCCAAAAAAAGCATTGTTTCAGACACCAGCTGTCTTCCTGAAACAACATAAAATTATATCATTTTACCTTTAGAGGGGACTTTGAAGACTCTCAAACCAAACATATATGTCAAATAGCAGAGTTCTCAATCTCTAGACTATGAGACTCACAAAGGAGTGTTGTCACAAGACAAGTGGCCACTGTGTCCTCTAAAACTCTTCATGACAAAGCCTTAAAATATCTTTTGTTAAAGAAGGTAGGGACTAAGCCGATATATGGGGCACAGAATTAGAAACTCTACAAATAGAAATTTCTATTAAAAATATTTCTCCTTAGTACCATGGCATTCCAATCTAGGGCAAAATCAAACCCCCTCAGTTTGAACATGTCATTGTATGGCCACAAAGAAGTACTTCACATCCAACTACTCATAGGGTGCTGACCCTAGACACTACCCTAGACGTTACTTAACTCTCTAAATTTCAGTGTCTTCATCTATAAAATTAAATTAATAGTAGTTCCTGCTTCTTGGAACTGTTGTTAAGAATTACAGGTAAGTGTCTGTACCTGCCATATAGCAGACCATCAGTCAGTGTTAGCTATTAATGATGACAACAGTGATCTCTGCTACTGCTACAATTTCTTGCAGGCTAAGCTTTCCAAGGCCCATCTATCAACACTGTATTAGATACAAATATGAAACTATAAAACTAGCTATATAGATATCAGAGACTATTTCCACTCTATTCATTTCTGAAAGTCCCTAGTAGCACAGTGAATTATTAAGGGCCCCCAAATTCTCTCTCACCAAGTAGACAAATACCATTTTATTATAGAAGCTAGTAATATCTTATTAATTTTTAACTTTATCCTTTATCATTATTATAATGATAAGTTGGATGTTATTTAAACAGCAAACTAAAAATCCAATTGCATAGGAGCCGTGCTCAGCATTGTACTTTAAGAACATATGTGCGGCTTATTCTGGTTTAGAATTTCCCCACTGGCCCATCTTAGGGGTTTTGATCAGTAATCACTGGTAGCTCTAAAGCACTTGACTGAATCTGGGGATTTCTAATTTTTCTACTGAATGTTCATAGAGGAGTGGTTGGAGAACTCTATCTCTGAGGCTCCCCTAGGCCTTCCTTTAATAACTTCTGTTTCATGGAGACACAGAGTCTAGGGCTGAAGTAGCAGACAGCACTGGAATTTTTGTCTTGACTATTTTGTATCCCAGTTGATCTCCATATGATCATTTACTCTGACAAAGACTCCCAATGCCAACTGAGTGAGTCAGGGGTCCATAGCATGGCATATAAAGCCCCCAAGATGAAGCCCTTCTCCACCTTTCCAGCCTCATCTCTTGTCAATACCCTAAGTGTCAGCCATCCCAGACCACCTGCCATTTCCTAAACATGCTAGGTTGTGTTGATCCTTTATGCTTTTTCTTCTACTGCTTGATCTGCCTAGAGTACACATTACTTGCAACATACCTGAAGACCCCTTGCAAGACTCAGGAAATGAGTCATTTCCTAACTAACTTACACACTCTCCCAGCAGAACTGATTTTTAACTCCTGGAATCTTCTCTATCCCTTGTACAGACACTGATCATAGCGCCATAATGCTTGATTGCATTTATCTGTCTAAACATTGACCTCTATCATTTGTATTGAGGCAGAAGATATATTATATACATCTTTATATTTCTAACATATGGCATGTTGCCAAATAATGTAGTAGGTTCTCTAAAGATATTTACTGAATGAGTGAATGAATAAACCTCTTATTAACTGGTAAAGTTACCATAATCAGCTCAACTTGTATTTCTCTTACTCATCAACTCTCAAATTAAGAAAACACCTCCCATCCCTTCTCACAGATGACTTCAGGAAGATCAGTGCCCACTTGTAAAATGATCTGAGGGTTATCAGAAAAGAAATAGAACTTAAACAGTTTCTAGAAGCTACATTCTGTTCTATAATTTTAAGAAGGCTCTTCTGAATCTTGGAATCCTTTTGTTTAATTTCCTATCCTTCTGGAGATTGCAATTCTAAAACAGATAAACTAGATGGACAGTATTGTGCATATAGGCTAAATAAAACATAAAAGTACATGAAAAAGTAGTGACACTTAAAACTGGTGTTACAGATCAAATATAGGTCAAGGGTAAATTTCTATTTAGATTTCTTTATGGCATCCTTTTAATTTTATTTATATATATTTAAAATCTCAGAACTTTATTCACTTTAGTGTCCAAGTTAATCCCTGGAGGGAAGTCAGAGCAAAAGTTAACAACTAAATGTCCTCATCAGTAATTCTGTGTAACAATCTGAGAGTCCTAAACAAAATCTTATGATTCTTTTAAGTACCTGCTACTTAATGTAATGAGGTGACTTTGCCAAAGATATTTTGGCTTATATTTCCCCAAAGCCCATAAATCAAGGATGAGGTGAGATTGTAATAAGTGTGTAAGAAATAAAAACTACCCCACAAAATGTTTTATTTTCTTCCTTAATATTAAATCTAATAGCCAGGAAATGTTGGGAGGATAAAATGGAAGCTGGAGAGTTGGGGGTAATAAGGACACAAAAGAAAGAAAAGTGAAGCAAGAAGCAAAAACGTGGTGGTGAGAAGAGAAGGCACAGAAATCAGTACAAGGAAGCTGTACAGAGTGAAAAGAGTTAACAGAGAGGAAAGGCCTTAACTACTGAAAGAAGTAAGTTACCACCCATTGCATTTTTTGCTACAGTTAGTAATATTTATATTTGTTTAATTTCTAATAACATTGAGTCTTTGCCTCCTAGTGGTTTGGCAACCTGGTTACAATGAAATGATGGAATGATATTTGGTTCAATGAAGGTTTTGCAACATACATGGAACTCATCCCACTTAATGCTACATATCCAAAGCTATAATTTGTAAGTTTACAATTTTGTATGTCATACCTTACATACAGTTCAGCCCATAACATAAATCCCTCACCCAAAAATCTATGGACAGAAAACTGAAATAGCACAAATATACAGCTCAGTATGTGGGGTAAGAGGAAAGAATGTCACTGTCCATATCCAATGATATAAGACAAGAGAGTGCCCATGGCTACAGAGCCTGTGCAGAGTTCTTGGCATATAACCTGAAAATTAAGCATAATTTGGGCACACTCCTCCAGAATTTTCAAAAGGCCTATTCACTTCCCCAAAATTTATGAAAAGATTGTTTTCAAACATGTCTTTTTCCTTAGGCATAAAAAGTCTAAACACTACATACCAAGTTGGTTTGTGATGGTTAATTAGCTCTTTGGGATAGGCATTTGGCCCAGTATAGTATAGACAGATATGGATTCAGAGTATCTTCTTATCTGCTATGTTTTGAATCCTTGGTGAAATCCCAAATATTCATATATTCTCACTTGTAAAACACACGTAATGCATCTACTTTGCAGGGTGTTGAAAGGATCAAAAATGATGAATGTAAGGTCCTGACATATAGCAAGTGTTTCACTAAATAGGAACCATTTTATTTTTGTATCCAAGGGTTTGGTACATGGTAAACGTTCAAATAATGTCTGAAGGAGTGTTATATTTACACTTTTATGAAGTAGAGAACTGATAAAAGGGGAATATGTAAGGGGAAAGAAACTTAAAATCAATTGTAAGGAATATTGATTGAATACTTCTAAGAATATCGTACTGAGCCTATTGTGTTTTCTGTTGCTTTGAAAGTTTCAAATTGAAAGTGACAAAATTTTCTTCCCTATTTAGGATGATGCTTTTTTGGGTGTTTGTTTTGGAGTGATCGAACAAGATTCATGAAATTCATCCTTTCCTATCTCCAATCAGGCAGAAACTCCTATTTAAGTACAGGAAATGTTTAATACAGTTTCCTATGAGAAGGTAGTAATTGCTGTGGGCAAGTGGAAGCTCTGCTTTTAGGAGAAATATAATGAGAATCATGAAACCAGCAGTTGAAGTTACTGCTTCCAGGTTACTGCCACTAGTTATACTTTTTTATTTGATGTTCATTTTTCAGACATTACACATGTTCCATAAAATTTAAGTTTTCTTTAAAAATACATCATACTACTTTTTTTTCTTTATCTTCTTGTTTTGTTTTCCTCCCTTCCTTCCTCCCTCCCTCCCTTCTTTCCTTCCTTCCTTCTTTCCTTCCTTCCTTCTTTCCTTCCTTTCCTTCCTTTCTTTCTTTTCTTTCTTTCTTTCTTTCTTTCTTTCTTTCTTTCTTTCAGGGAGCTTGTATTTCAAATATTCTCAAGGATCTTCTGAGTAAGGAGAAATTCCAGGAAGGAATTATTCACTACTTAAAGAAGTTCAGTTATGGAAATGCCAAAAATGATGATTTGTGGAGCAGTTTGTCAAATGTAAGTCATAAACTGAGTAACATAGCAGACTGTTGTTAAGCCTAAAATGTAACAGGCTAATTATGAACGTTTATAAATAGTTACATTGTCAGTCAACCAATATTTATTCCACTTTCCACATTGTCTAGGTCAATAAAAAGCAGCACCTTCCTTGTTCCTCTGGCACCACACTAAACTAGGGTGTCACACTGGGTTAGTCACAGTATTCGATATTTGGCCTCCTTCTCTGTGGTTCCCTTCAATGAAAATTCTTTAATGACTTTGTAATTCCATTTTTTATTATTTATTTTGAGAGAGAGAGAGAGAGAGAGAGAGAGAGAATGAGTCAGGGAGGGGCAGAGAGAAAGGGAGAGAGAGAATCCGCGCTGTCAGCGCAGATCCTGATTCAGGGATTGATCTCACAACTGTGAGATCATGACCTGAGCCGAAGCTAAGAGTTGAATGCTCATCTGACTGAGTCACCCAGGCACCTCTGACTTTTTAATTCCTACCATAAATACCTAATCTTCTCTGCCCAAGTTTTAAGGTTGAACTCTGCTTGCTCAACTTTATTGTCCAGCATGCATTCTCCATTGAGCGAGACACATTTTCTCCCTCATAAGAAGAAATCCTGCTTAATCCCTATGTTATCATGTCTTTGTTTCTAGTGCCCTTGCTACCTGAACTGCACTTTCTTCTTTCCAAGAATTCAAATACCATGCATCTTTTGAGTTCTAGCTGAGATTTTACCTCCTCCTTATAGACTACTCCAGCCTTCATTGCTTTGCCTTTCTCCTAAATACCTAGAAGTACATTTATGAATCTGTTCCATAAAGTGACATTCTCTTTTATTAGTTTATAATGGCTTAAACATAACAATGATGATAATAATAATTGCTTAAGAGCAAGAATTGTATCTATTTTTTAATGCCATGCACTAGTGATTAATAAAAAGTTGATCATTGATTCAAGAAATCTTGCTGTCTGTCATTGAGATTCATGTAGTATAATAGGCAAGACAAAAAGTAAAACATGCAGTCAACTCAGACGATTCTAATAATTATTAAAGTATTCTTAAATGTTCAACTGTAAGTAAAATAATCTTTAATAGAAGTATTGTACTGGCAGAGCTCATGGATACAGGTCGAAAAACCCTAAGCCATTGTAGACAGAAGAGGTCCTCTCTTCCTTATAAACACTTATGTCCTGGGGACAGTAATAATACTGTTAAGTATTTGTATAGCACTTAACAGTTCAAAGAGATATTTCAAATACATAATCTCACTTAATATTTTTTATGCCCTTATAAAGTCTGGACCCTCATGGTCCAATAATTTATGTGTGTGGTCAAAGGAACAAAGTCAAGTCATTAAACATTTTTTCAAAGTAGCTCAAAGCTTTTACTCACATTTCTTGAAAATTATAAAAGGGACCAAAATACACAGTCCTTACTAGTACCTGTAACAATGCTTTTTATCCATTTGCACCGCTTCCTGCTGATGATCTAGATGCTCTCTCCACAGTTCCTCCTAAACTTCTCAACCAGCCACACATTGCTTTTCTCTCCCATCTTTTTCCTCCTTCCTTTCCTTTGCAGTGTGCGTGTGTGTATGTGTGTGTGTGTGTGCGTGTGTGTGTGTGTGTGTGTGTGTGTGTAGACATAAACCTTGTCTTTTTTCAACAACAAACAATCTCTCTTTGGTGTGCATAAGGGTGTAGGAGGGTAGGGGGGAGATTAAAGGAGAAATTTGGCCAACAATTTCAGGATTCTTTTACGCCAACTGTGACTATTTCTATGTTAATTTTTGCCATATCATGCTTATTAGCCATCTCAGGAAGATAAGGTAGGCATTCTTATCCCATTTTTACAGGTTGGAAAAGTAATACTAAGGGAGAAATTGGTGCCAGGTCACATATACACCAAGCAATGATGGAGTCAGTACATAACATCTGTCTTCCCACTCTAAGTCCAGTATTCATCCTCTCAATTACAACACAGCTTCTTCCCAGTTATCAGGAACGTCTCACTGTTAACCTTCCCCTAAATATCCTCAGTTCTAGTTGACCACTTTCTCATGCCAAATGAAACTGTGGTATGAAACTGAAAAATTCCTGAAAATATCTTACGTAGCTTTGTGTCACATAACATCAATTCTAAAACATGTCATAGCAACTTGGGAGTTAGAGGCATCCTTTGTTGTTATTTTTCATAAAATCGTTTAATGGCATTTGATAGCCTCACAGTGTGTGTGTGTGTGTGTGTGTGTGTGTGTGTGATTTTTCCATTTATAGTTCCTTTTAAGCACTAACTCCTGGTTATTTAAAGGTTGATTGACAAGTTGTTGATTTCCTTGGGTCTCATTTTAATTCAGAATTCAAAATTTATTACGCATTCTCTATATGCTACTGTGGTAGTCATTGGGAATGCTCAGGTAAGCAAAGGCATTCCCCCTCCTCAGTCAAGGAATTTGTGATATGATAGGAGAAGGTTAATACTAGACTCAGTTGCCAAAATGCTAAATAGGGGCATGAGTAGCATGCACAATAAAAGAATTAAGTAGGACCTCCCCAGGGGGAAAAGAAGAAATGAAAGAAAAATTCAACAAACTGATTCCTTCCTAAAAGTTATTCTATTACATTGTACTTCTTTTTTTAGTTAAAATTTTTGTTTTAGTATTTATTTACTTTTGAGAGAGAGAGAGACAGAGAGTGGACAGAGGAGGGGCAGAGAGAGAAAGAGAGACACAGAATCTGAAGTAGGCTCCAGGCTCCAAGCTGTCAGCACAGAGCCTGACAGGGGGCTCAAACTCACCGACTGTGAGATCATGACCTGAGCTGAAGTCGGATGCTCAACTGACTGAGCCTCCCAGGCACCCCTACATTGTACTTCTTTAGAAAACTTAAAATACATATGTATATTTAAAGCTTATATGTATGTATACATAAACATAAAGTTTACATATAACTTTATGTATACATAAACATAAAGTTTTATATATATTTCATTGGCCTAGATAGACATGGTAAGGAACATAGCAATTCATGAAAATTTTAAAAAAAGGCATTTTCACAGTGACCATAGGAAATCTGCAAAAATTACTCTTTTTGTTTTATGTATGCAAGTAACTTTTGTTACTTGGTACTATCAGTACCCACATGACCATGTTCTTTCATTCTTGTTTTATAGAGTTGTTTAGGTAATTTTACATCTGGTGGATTTTGTTATTCTGGTTCCAAGATGACAAGCTGCACAGTAAGTATATAGAAGCTTACAGAGCAGAAGAGACCTGCATCACATGACCCGAAGTGAGTGTGTGGAGTAGCCCACCTGTCCCTTTAAATAACTGGAAAGGAAGAGAGACTCCACAATTTTCCTTGAAACAAAGCTGACTGAAAAAATAATGTTCAGGCCATTTAGGGGGATGATGCTATTACTACTCTATTTTTGTTGTTATAATTCAGCTTTCCCACAACCCCACTGCTAGCTAAAAATATCTCAGCTCAGAATTCCTCTGCGTGGTTAGTGCCACATTGGCATCCTCTAGGCTCAGAAAAATGCCAAACCAAATATGTTAGGTTTGGAAATATAGTCAGCGGTTTTCTTGAGGCTCTTTTTGTTTACTTCTGGGAAGTTATTGGAACACTGTAGTAGAGCAGAAAGAAAAGTAACCATGAAAAAAAAAGGAGAACTCTTTTTTAAATGAGTCATGGTAATCCCATAAATTTTAGTTTTTAAAGGAGGATTCAGCATAATCCAGGGATCAGAAATCCTTATGAGAAGCTAGGAAACTGGAGGTTTTGTTCTCCATTCAATAGAATCTATTTTTGTAGTATTGTTCTTTTGGAATATTTAAAGCTCCCCTAAAGATAGACATTTCTTTCCTAAACATCCCCATTGTACCGTTATTAAAATGGAGAGGTGGGGTTTTTTTTCTGTTATTGTTTGTTTTTTTTTTTTCGGGGTGGGGGGTTGAAATGGAGCAGGAGAGAGGCTCCAGTCTCAAGTTCCTGTGGGACTTTGCTACCAGATGCCAACCTTCTCCCACATATCTCTCTCCTTCAGTTCACTTGCAGAGAGCAGGCCTGGGGTAGGCAGCCCTGATCCAGTTCCCGCCGTGAGACTGCAGCCTGAGGTCTCCCCTCCTCCTCCATAAGCCTTGTTTCTGGCAGCGAAGGAGATCTGCATTTCTGATCTCTTTGGTTTCTCTCCTCCATTACCAAAGTCACTTGTCATTTCAGCTTGCCTTTCTGGGGGAAGATGTGGAGGTCAAGGAGATGATGACTACGTGGACTCTGCAGAGAGGAATTCCCCTCATTGTGATTGGACAAAAAGGACGTTCACTCAGGCTCCAATAGATAGGTTTTCTGAGCAGGGTTTTCAAAGATGACCCAGAATGGAGGGCCCTACAGGAAAGGTGTCTGCTTTTCTTCTAGTGGTCTAGTTCACCTCCTCTCAGTTTGCTCCTTGTTTCATTAGCTTTCTTTCAGTTTCTGTGGCAACTTTGTGGATGCTATTTCTACCCCAGACTCAGAGGCCTGGACTAACCTCGATAACAGATTTAAAGAGCTTGGGGTGTGACCCAGTCTGTGTTGTTGTACAGCTGTGTTCCTAGTAATTCTGCAGCAGCCACTCAGTTCTGATGCAGAGGGTGGTCAGTTATATTTCTTATAATATGTCTTACTCTTTCAGTACTAGATTTCTGGGGCCTGATCATTTGGTGACTAGCCCAAACCTAGGAAGTGTGAGGACAGCTATACATCTCCTCAGAAGAGAAAATATGTTCCCTATGCAATGAATTAGATTCCTTTGAATCTTGTGAATTAAACCTCCTGTGGCCTTTTGTTTTTTGGTAATTGACTATAAACAGGATGCCTTAAAACATGATGTTCTCGGTAATAATGAAAGTAAATTCAATTAACCATACTATCATCTTGCTCACCAGCCAATCTTGAGAAACCTTGGTAAAAGCTTTACTAGAATCAAGAAATACAACACTGGCCACATTTCTCTGATCTATTAGTTCTATCCTTAAGATGAATGAGGTTAATTTTAAATGAAATAATATAAGTGGCTCTGTACTGGGCTCTTATGATTGTTCTTCTTTCTAAGGACGTATTTGTCTACTAACAATTCTAGAATTTTTCTCAGAATCAGAAGCAAATTCAAGATGTTTAACACATAGAATATAATGTTTTTCCTTTTGTTTTGTCTGTTGCCTGTTTCCAATCCAGCAGCAACTTTTATGTCACTTCTCTATGTATACATCATTTCATTTTTCTATATGTCCTTCTGAAGTCTGAACCTCAGAGAGCTTAAACAATTTATAGCTTGACAACATAGCCTGCGAAATTTAATGTTTGATTCATTATTGGGAAAGCAGGATTCACACTCCTGTAACTTATCAAAATGTCACGAGAGACTTCAATAATGTGGATGGCCCAGAATAAACAAATATCTACAACAATGATCTGTATTTTTCCTCCATTTGAGGCAGTATTCAGATTACTCTTATAAAATCATTACCCTCCAATTCATGCCTATCCCAACTCATGAAATGCTACTCTCCTCTTTTTCACTCCCAGATAGTTTTATCTGAAAAAACTCCCTTTCCTTCTGGAGCCAAGATCAATCCAGATCATTCTATTAAGGCTTGGCAATATCTGTGTGTCTACTTTTACTTTTTTGTGTAAATTTTTTTATTGCTTTGTTAATTATTGGTACTTTGTGGGTTAGCAGGTAGATTATCCCTTCTGATCCTTTACTAGATAAAGTCTGTGTATGTCATTTGTTTCATTGTTTTATATTTTTCTGAAGATTAATAGGCATGTCTTCAATTATTCTTCTTGTTTTATACCTGTCAATATTTCCAAGCACAAGATTTTACATGTGCAAGAATACTATAGCTAACTAATATGGCCTGATGTGAAAGAGGAAATGAATTTTAAAACCTGCTAGAAAGCCAGAAAAAAATAGCTGATTTCTGTTATTTGCCATAGGGAGACCATTTAAAGTAACTGAGGCTTTTTCTTCTAATCCATTCTGTTTTTCTGTCCTTCGGACCTGGCTAATCAGCAGATCCTAGATTGTGGCATTGCTGACCACGAACAGTCACTTGGCAGTGGAGGAGTTGGGTGTGGGTAGCTCTGTTGAACAAAAGGATATGGGAATCATACAAAGTCAGATCTTTATCTCTTAGGCTTTTCCTGAAGCTTTTCTTCAGTTATTTGAATTAATAACAGGCTGTCAGAGTTTTTGGAAATGTGAAGGAAGATTGGATTTTTTTTTCTCTTCCTTAGAAGTAAGCAGTCAACAGAACTTATGATATGAGATTTGGATAGCAAATAGCACAAGTAAATGTGACCTCAACTAGGTGTATATTGCTGCACCTTTATAATCATATGGAAGAATTTTCACATACCCAAGGATCCACAAGTCTTAGCCTATAAAATTTATAAGGCCATTGATAGTGTGAAAGATAGGCCATTAGGTGACTTTTACAGCCAATCTGAGTCTGACAATGTGAAAATTAAAATGGCCATTCGTTTAGTCTGTAACAGTCTTTATTTTCTAGGTATCTTTGGCATATTCCATTGACCTACTCCACAATTCCTCTAATGCGATTCATGGACACATTCTAAAATCAAGGACAGGTAATGAACTAATTAGCCAAATAGGTGTTTCCGTTCTGAAATTAAACATGTTTTCAGCTATTTGGAGGAAAGATACTGTAAGTAAATCTAATAATAAAAGATATATGTTTGGAGAAATTTTCATTTATACATATAAGTTGCTAAAAGAACTCTTTAGCTAGAAAGTTTGAATTTTCTATTCAGTGGGAATTCTTCTTATACTTTTAGCATTTAGAGATAAGTTTGTATTTATATCAAGAAATAATGGCTTTCTATCTCATATCTCTTAGTAGCTACTAATTAAGCTCTTATGCCACAACACAAAAATATGTATGAAAACAAAGCATGCACTTTAGAATAAATTGGCCCTGGATTCAAATCCTCACTCTGTCACTTATTAGATGTGTGACCTTCAAAAAATCTCTTTACTCGTTCTGAGCTTCAATTTTCTCATCTTATTTTGAACGAGGACCAGGTCCCACAAAACTATTGAGAGAATATGATAATGTTATTTCACCATGTAGTATAATGTCTGTCATATTAAAAATACATAATAAAAAATTTTTAAGTTTATTTATTTTGAGAAAGAGAGAGTGTACATGCTCACGCAAGTTGGGGAGGGCAGAGAGAGTGAGAAAGAATCCCAAGCAGGCTCTGCACTGTCAACACAGACCCTGATGTGGGGCTTGAACCCACTAACCGCAAAATCGTGACCTGAGCTGAAATCAAGAGTTAGGTGCTCAACTAACTGGGCCATGCAGGTGCCCCATAACATAATTTTAATTTCTCTTTTGAACACCTTACTGAAATGTGAGAGGGTTTCCATCATTATGTCATGTTCAACCTGGAATCCTTATTTCACCCAAAATAAAGACTGGACAAATGGATCACCTATTTATATGTACATATTTCAATGACTGATAACTAAACCCTGAGACAAGGCCACAAATAAATCAAGTCAAATTCCAATCACGTTTATCATATAGTTAACTGGGCCTCTTAGACCTGCATAGACTGCTTTTGAGAACAAATTTAGCAGTCCTTTTCCTATGAATGAACTTATTTATTAATTTAATAAGACTATAATTCACACTATGAAAATGAACATCACCATGACTTTTCCAAAACTTTGTCTTCCCACTGATTAATTAGTAATAGCATGAGAAGTAACAATTTTGGAGATGTTCCTGGTATGTATGTTGATAATAAAATGGCTAATGCCAGTTTCCTCCTCTGGATTTATCTCAAACTACCAGTTAGGTGAAATTCAGTGTGGACTCAAATGGCTACTACATTGTTCACTATGAGGGGCATGGATGGGACCAACTCATGGGACCAACTCTAACCTGCATCAGAACCACACGCTTCGCAAACCTAGGACAGAGTAGGTCTGATTCATGATGCATTTCAGCTGGTAAATTTCAGCAAAATTTCAAATGATTTCATAGCAAGTAACTGATTCATGATCAAATATGCTAGATTTCAAAATCAAATATTCAGTGTTGGTCATTCATATGAGATAGATCTGAAGGTCAAATACTTGGCCGAAGCCTACCTACTGATAAGGTGTTTTGACCCATACAGTGTTTAAAAATATAACACAACATTTTATTGATTGATTGATTGATTGATTTTTAAATTTTTTTAATGTTTGTTTTTGAGAGAGACAGAGAGAGGGGCAGAGAGAGACAGAGACACAGAATCTGAAGTGGGCTCCAGGCTCTGAGCTGTCAGCACAGAGCCTGATGCAGGGCTTGAACTCATGAGCTGTGAGATCATAACCTGAGCTAAAATCTGACGCTTAACCAACTGACCCACCCAGATGCCCCTAATCCAACATTTTAAAATGTGGGGAAATTTACATACAAATCCTGACTTCTGAAGTCTCTTTTATAAGTGAAAAGATTTGGTAACTGTGGACCTTCATTCCTACAAAGAGGAAGGTGCAGTGGACACATCCTTCCTGAAGCCAGGCCTTCACTGTCCCATGCACCAAGGTCCCAAACTGTACACAAGTGGCCTGCTTCACTCACTTAGGGTGGACCCTCTAAGCATTTAAGCTTTTGACTCTAGATTTAAAATTTGTTTATGTGAGTAGCTTGCTGTTTCACAAAATACCTATGTAATCTGTTGAACAAAAAGTATAATATAGTCTTTACTTTTATGATTTCAAAAGTTAAATCTAGCACAAATCCATTCATCACTTCGCACATTGAAGAAATAAATATGAAATTGAAAGGGAAGTGAAGGAGGAATTGGCTACTTGTGTTTATTCCTCTTCAGACTTTCCTGGAAAGACAAAGTATTTTCTTTCTTTTCCCATTTATCATCAGCAGAATAATACATAGAATAAACCAGGTCATAAAACCACCAATGGGGAAAAAATTTGGAGTATTATGCATTGTAAGCTTTTCCTGTTCTGAGAATTACTATACTCAGTTTATTCAGTGTGACATATTGTTTCCTTTCAGATGTTTATTTAGGTCAAAGTGAGTGAGAGTAACCAGCAGGATACCTCTCAGGAGAAGCTTCTCCATACAACAGAATTTCTAGTTAGGAGAAACAGAGAGATTGAGAGCTTAATCCTCAGTCCTACAGGTTTTAGGAACATAGTGGTAGCAGGGCACATTGGAGGCCAGGATTGAGAAAAACACCATTCCAAATCTAAGCAGATACAGGGTAGACTAGATGAGAAGTAGGCTATGATTCACTGAAGGAGGTTTGTCTGCTCAAAGGAGAAACTCTGACTAGATGGCAGAGTAGATTAAAAATTTAAGAATAGGAAGACTGAAGAATATCGATAGTTTAGTCAATTAAAGCCAATTTTTTAAGTAATTGCCAAGTCTTCTTTGCTGTTTCTAGCCTATACATGTATGTGTTGTCTAAATTTAGCAGAAGGAACCCTACAGTTATTAATGCATCAGTGGAAAAACAATAATAAGATTTGGGTGACAGATTAATGAAGTTAATTCAGAGTACAAATTTTGGGTTAAAATGGATGGGTTCAAGTACTACCTCTTTAATTATTGTTTGACCTTAGGCAAATTATCTAAACTTTTTAAGACTACGTTTTTTAGTTTTTAAAACTTCTCTAGTATTTAAAATTCCAATTTTAAGTAATAATATCTAATAGAAAGTGTTGTTTTAAGGATTGCATAAAATAACGCCAATAAAGCACCAAACGCAGTACCTGCTGAGTAACTGTTAATGTTAGCAATATTAGTATTATCAAATGTAAATTGTTTCAAAGATCATTTGTTGAATATGAAGAAGTGAGAACACAGAAATGCATTGCAAATAATGCAAAGGTGGAAAACAGCAGAATGTAAATTTATGTATTATTATGTTTGCAACTACATAGAAAAAGTAGTAGCTAAAAAGTGGGGGGGGGGGGGGAGGAAATATTCCAAAGTGCTATTAGTGAATGTGTAGGGTCATGAAACTATGAGTCTTGTTCCTCTCCTCTCTAACTTACAACTGTCTCATAATTTTCTTATATTAATTTTATAATAAAATTAATTCAATACGGAAGCAATTTAAAACTCTCATAATATTTTTACTTGCAAAAAATATTTTTGCTTACTGCCTTCCCTCAGTAATATTTATCTTGTTCTTGTCTGCTTTATCAAATACCTATTTAAGAGTTAAAAGAAGTAATCAATGATCATATTTAGTTTGAAGACAGAATTTGACCAAAGAATGGATATTTGTTTTAATTGTTTTTTTACACTTACTAAATATAATTTAACACTTGGATCTCATCTGAGTTGACTGGGATTAAAATGACAACTTTAATTTCCTTACCGAAAAACTATTTTTTTCTTTTAGTCCCACACGATAAAAAGAAGACCCAAATTATTTCCTTGGGAATTTGGTTTTATTTCACAAAGGTACCACTTAACTAAAACTGTATATTAATAAATATATAACTGTATACTAACAAAATATAGATTTCTCCTGTTGGGTTAAAGTATACACTTATATGTGTGTTTAGTTTTTAAGATGAACATTCAGATAACATTTTGTGCAATGATTGGTGGTGAGGAGCTGGATTTTTATTAAACAATAATTATATAAGAAGAAAAGAAGCCCTCTTAATGAATATTAAGGTTAATTTTTTAAGAAGTAGGTATGTATAAAAGTAAATAATGGTGTTTGTTTTAGTAAGAAACAAATTACACTGTGCCAAACAGGAACAACAGGATTAATATGAAGTAATTTTTGTGTTCAGTATTCTTTATTAAATTGTGACCCTGGAATATTAGACCTAGTTTCCCTGTTGCTGATCCTCTAAGGTATCAGCTGCACCATACATTATGATATTACACACGTAGGAAGAAATAGTGACATTTGGTAGATGTGTGTTTTTAAAAATATAGCAAACCATAGGATCATAGTTCATATGGTCCAACCCTCTGTCTTCGGGCAAAAATTTTGGAAATTTTTCCATAAGTCTGTTTTAAAGCAGGAAATCATTGAGATTAAGAAGAGTCAAGTCACAACAAAAGTTGGTTCTTTTTCATTTCCCTTCTTTCTAGTTTCAATTCCCTCTTTTTAGATAAGAATTAAAAAATTTAAAAACCCTAAAGAGGTAAGGCATTATGTTAATGAAAAATTCAACAGAGACATTCTTCGTTCTGGAATCTGTTTCCATATCAAGCTATTATGCTTAATCTGGGAGTCTGATGCTGACATGAATAGTTTACAGACCATGTGCAGACACAATCCTCTCAGAAACACATGCGAGAATCACTTTGCAAAAATGACAATATGTTGGTTTATTTCCTCTATGGCAGAGACCCTAATGTTTTGGTATTCACAATAGCAGTTTTGTTGTTTGTTCTTCTCATGAAAGGAAAATGCAGAGAAGGCATATAACTGGCTGGAAATCCCTTGTTCCTTGTCATCACCATCCCAAGAGGATCCTATCAGGATTGTGAACAAAATATTCCTCTTAAATGTGATTTTATCTTTTTTTGATTGATATTCCCTCCTCAGACGGGAAATTAAATCATATTTTTAAAGGAGAAACGCTGTTTAAATATGGAAGGTGGGGCCCAGAAAGAGAGAAGGAAAGTACAAAGATAAATAGTTCTGTGTTTGGGGAAGATTCATGCAGACAGTTTAGAGTTGACCCCGTTTGGTGGGTAGGAGCTGTGTGATTACTAAATTTAGCCTCTCTGTAAATCATCCTGTGCTTTCTGCAGCATTACCTTCTTTGATATTTTAAGCCGGTGATTGACATGCAAAGCTGGAGCAAGGAGGGCTCAGTCTGGGACAGGTTGCTTGCCTTGACCATCTTAAAACTGGCCTCTTACCTGAACCATTCTCCCTGCATCCAGAAGGCAACTGAACTCTTCTCTCAGTGGATGGAATTCAGTAGAAAATTAAAGTAAATCTAGACATCTGTCCTGTTCTTTGTTCCTTTCACTTTGATGTAAAAGTCTTTGATCAAGCAAGACATTAGATCTAAAACCTTTCAGTGAGGACAAGAGGGAGAAAGCCATGCTGGGAATTACATATCTGTGTCTCCTGCTCCCATATAGTAAGTGCTCAATAGATTTTGTGAGAAGTGAGGTTTAGGTCCTTTGAGAGGGAGAGCTAAAATGCAGTGGCATAGTAACAGAAAGATAGCCAGAGGGTAGAAGCAGGGGGGTGCCCAAGCTTCAAAAGTAATGTCTTTTAAAGATAAAAAGCAATGTGAAATGTACATGCAGTCAAAACACCAGTGATCATTTGTTAAAACTTTTTTTTTAAAAAAAGGGAGGATACTTTTTAAAAAATACATATTTACTTCTTCAGTAATCAATACCACAGACCGAATTTTGACCTCAGATCTCATCTTTGATGGGAAACTGATTTGGGCCATCAAAAGTGTGTATGTATACAATGGCAAAATGGATTGCAGTGGTTATTATAATCAGAAAGGTGCTCAGTGATCATATGGATTATGTTGCCATTCAGTTTAGCAGTTTGCAACCCACAGATACTAACAGATGCCACAATCTTTTCAATGTAAGCTTTGATTTCTTTTCAATACAAGATTTTATATAGTTATTGTTAAAACTCTCACTCTAGAGTTGGATGTTTTGAGAAATCAAATTTGTATGTGAATTAAGGAACATTCATCCCTTAAAACTGAAGAAAAATTTCATTATTTTAGCAGAGTGTAATGTGATGGTGTCCATTTTTCCTGTGCCACATTGCTGGTAGGCTATCATAATTTCTTTCCATATAACTAAATCTCAGTGAGCTTTTTGAAATCCTATCTTGAATTCTTCTTTTTGAAAACATTAATTCCAGTCTTCTTTTAGTACTTTTCCTGTCATTGTGATTAAACTCAAAAATCAGTTTAAGGAAAAAGGATCTTTTAGCTCTAGTTTTCTCTTCTTTTTGTTAATGTTTGAATGGGTTGTATGAGTGAGGCTAAAATGTAAACATCCTGCTGTCCTATAACATAAAGAGATATTATTCCATCTCTATACTTGTTAGAAGAGGGATGATCTTACCTGCAGCAACCCACCTATGGGTTGGATATGGTAGCTCAACATGTTTACTCCGATGCAGTACTTAGGAAAATATTGTGGGTAAACCTTATTTATGCTTGTAATCAATAATACATAATTAAATATTATAGGTTTTGTTTTCCTAAACATCAAGACTGCTAGTATTCAGCCATAATGAAGAATTTTCTTATATAGATTAATTACTTCATTCATGTATTGAAAAATTCTTTGCATGTTGCCTGTGAACCCGCAGTGCTTGTAGGTACCAAGGATAAAGTAGTAAACAAAACAATGATGTGTGCTACCTTCAAGGAACTTACAATGTATTTGTTATCAATTTTCATCCATTTGTACAGTAAATATACCAAAATCAAAACAATGTAGATTATAATTTAATTGCCTAATCTTTGTTTTGTGATTCAACTGGTACTTGGGATATTTAAGCATATATAGTGGAAACAACACAAGATCAGGATCATGGGTTTAAATCTCATCTTCAAAATGGCTAGTTGCTTGCACCAGTTGCTTAACCTTTCCAAGCTTTATTTCCACTTTTTAAAAATCAGGATAATAACAATCTCACTAGGTAGCTTTGACAGTTAAATATGATGTACAGAGACTAGTACAATCTCTACCATATGGTCACTGTATGATAAATGCAAATTTCCTGCCCCATCCCTACTTCTCTGTTGTGTTTTTTTGAGCTATCAAAATGAGTATCAGTTATTATTTATCTAATGATATTTGGAATTAAAAACCATAAACAAAATTAAGATCAAAACTACTTTAATATTCTATAGGGCAATAAAACCTCAAAATTGTGGTTTCTTCTTTATGTGGACAGAAAAAAATTATTATATCTTATTAGTTTTACAAATTATAAAATGACTGAACCTAATCAATTTTGCTAAATTACAATTTTCTAGACCTAGAGAATCAGATGACTTTCAGATAGTCTTGTTAGAAAATAGTCTTAATGTGGGAATTAAAGTGGCAAGTAATCATGTTTTTTTAAAAAAGATCACATAGCACTAATACAGATTACTCAATTCTAGAATTCTGTATAAACCACTGCTTTTATATGTCAGAAATCGTCTCTTGTATATATGGATTCCATAAAGTTTCTATTTTCATCTCTGAGCAAGTTAAAATTTTATGATTGTTCTCCTTGCTAATATTTTATCATCGGTAGAAAAAAACACAAATAATTTGGAAAGTAAAGTTACATGAAATAATTTTATAAAAGTCTGACAGAAAAAAAGGTTTAACCCATTAGGTACTGAAAATAACTCATGGGTGATTCTGTTATAGCAATTTAAAATTATAATAAGAAAACAAGAGTTTTTTGTTTCATAAGACTTTTTTTTCCACTTCTGTTCTTATTACAGCATTCTAACAGATGTTTTAAAGATCGTATATTCCGTGGGTGCTCAAACGGCAGTAGGATGGAATTACCTTTTAGAGCAAAATATGGATTGTCACTTTCAGGTGCTGAAAAAAACAAAATTCTGTGTGCATTGTCAACCAGCAAACATCAGGAAAAGTTAATGAAATAAGTGCACTAATTTAAATTGTTAAAAATAAACTGATATAAATTCAATGAAGTCACTAAAATATTGGCCACTAATTCCAAAGGGATAAAACAATTGAATCAAGATTTGATTTGGTTTGACTTTACCTCCCCAAAATATATACTGACAAAATGCAAATAGTGAAAACAGATATTCCCTAGTTATTAATCAAGTGACTGATACTAGACAAATGCCCATGTTTTACTTTTAAAACCTTGGAGAAAAATTACCACAAAATTACATGTACAAGATGTACAAGTAAATGTACCACAAAATCACATGTACAAGATTACTTGTACAAGATGTTGTACAAGATGCTAATCAAAGTTCTTTGAGGGGTGCCTGGGTGGCTCAGTGAGTTAAGCGTCTGACTTCAAGCTCAGGTCATGATCTCATGGTTCATGAGTTGAGCCCAGGGTTGGGGTCTGTGCTCTCAGCTCAGAGCCTCAGAGCCTAGAGCCTGCTTTGGATTCTGTGTCTTCCTCTCTTTGTTCTCCTTGCCCACTCATGCTCTGTCTCTCTCTCTTTCTCAAAAATAAACATTAAAAATATTTTTTTAATTTAAAGTTATTTGAAATAATAGGTAAATAAAATTACTGCAGAAAAAAAAAATTAAAAGTTCAACTGGAACATTAAAAATGTTAGCCATTAGGGGCGCCTGGGTGGCGCAGTCGGTTAAGCATCAGACTTCAGCCAGGTCACAATCTCGCGGTCCGTGTGTTTGAGCCCCGCGTCAGGCTCTGGGCTGATGGCTCAGAGCCTGGAGCCTGTTTCCGATTCTGTGTCTCCCTCTCTTTCTGCCCCTCCCCCGTTCATGCTCTGTCTCTCTCTGTCCCAAAAATAAATAAAAAACGTTGAAAAAAAAATTAATAAAAAAATGTTAGCCAGTAAAGAATTTACTACTGTTTATGGTAAATTATAATTTTATCATGCATTTCTTTCTTCTATTCTCTTAAGATACTGGTAGCCCGGGTTAGCCTCTATTACATAACACATACTATGAGAAGTCAAATGCTCTTTATTTCTTCAGATTAATTGAGCTAAGAATGGGTGGAAAGGTCATCAAGACACAGGAGTTGGTGCCTCTTCCTCATTCAATCTCCAGAAATCCAAAGGGACAGCAATTAGCCTGGAAATTTTTAAGAGAAAATTGGACCCATCTCCTTGAAAAGTTGGTATTCATTTATATCCAGTGTGTGTTCTTCCACCTAGACGTGCCTGAAGCTACATATTTCGGTCACCTGAAACCAAGTATAATGATGTGCATATGAATGTAAATGATCCTATTTCTTCCCAAATAGTTTGATGAACTCTGTTAGTTTGAAAACTTTATAGTCCAAATTATTCTGTCGAGGTGTGAGGGAGAGGAATGAGAAGTGAATGGGAAATAGATTTCTTGCACTCAGCTGGGAGCAAATGTGAGCTAAATTAAGTCCAGTCATCAGCCCCTGTATCACACTCCTCCTAGCTTCCTCACCAGCTCAGAAGAACCCATATATAGTGAAGTGAAGCCATATATAGTGCATTAAACACGTTTGACTTGGTTTGTTAATATAGTTTGTTCTAGGGGGAAATTTCAGGAATTTTTTTTAAATTGGCATCAGCCTTATATTTTATTTATTTTTGATAGACAGAGAGAGACAGAGCACAAGTGGGGGAGGGGCAGAGAGAGAGGGAGACACAGAATTTGAAGAAGGCTCCAGGCTCTGAGATGTCAGCACAGAGCCTGACGCGGGGCTTGAACTCACAAACTGAGAGATCATGACCTGAGCTGAAGTTGGACGTTCAACCGACTGAGCCACCCAGGTGCCCCTAAATTTCAGGAATTTTGATGAGAGCTAATCCCCTCTCTCAGTTCCCCTGGGGAAGTGGTACAGTGGAGAACTTAGAGGTGCTGACTGGAAGTGTTTGGGGATCCCCCCTTCAAAACTCCATTGGCTCTGAGTCTTTTCTGGAGTTTCAACTTTTCAGAGAATCAGAGCTCACTCCAGCATGTGCCTAGGCCTAAAATATCCCCCAGAATGAACCAATAATGATTCGGTTTCATTGGAAGGTACAGGATGGCTTTGCTTCCTCTCACAAAAACCCCTGCTGAGGCACTCAGTCATTCCTCATCCAAATACAAAATGTCTCTTACAAACTATATGGAAAATACCCTCAATCCAAGAGCTGTGCAGTTTGCTCTGTTCATCTTAATGTCAGTTTGTGTCTTTGATTCTAGTCCTCCCCAGTTCCTCTTCCCTCCCATTTGTTAGCCATGAAGGATTCAGAGTCCTCCATAAAGCTTTGTGTAGACAAAAAGAGCATTTTCTCCCCTCTCCCAGGCCTTTAAGGGATTGACATTCACATGGGACCAAAGAGAAACTCCATATATATAATTTATATATATAATAAAAAATGTGTGTGTGTCCTTAAAAACTCTGCAGGAATCATTGGTTGGGGTGTTTGTATGACTGTCAGTTCCCTCTTGAAATGATCAGACTTTTTCTGCAATGCCATAGATTTCCTTTGTCACTAGAAATGATCCTCCTGCCTGACCATGTGCACAGCCTAGACTTGGACTCATTTCTGGGATGTATCTGTGCTCTGCTTTTCAGCATGAATCCCTTTGACGTATGGTACAAATTCTCTATATAAGACACCAGAGTGAAGGATAGAGTCTGTGGCTGCAAATGACAGTTCTACAAAATAACATTGCCCCCCAAAACACAGTGTATAAATGCAGTGGATTTCCAAAATGGGATGGGGAAGTGTGTAAGACAATAAGTAGTACATTAGAGTGCAAGAACGTATTACTGTATATACTAGTTCTAACACTATTAAATTTTCTTTTTAACCTACAACCTAATTGATAAATAAAAATATGTATATTGGGAAGTTCTTAGAAAAAATTCTTTACCAATGGAGTACATAATAAAAAAAATATAGACAATGCTGCTTTCAGTAGAAGCATCAATTTAAACATAAACATTGCTGACAAAGATAGTCACAGTTCCCAAAAAAGGCTTTATCTACGTTTTTATCTTATGGTCAAATTTGTTACATTTCATAACTTTGGGATTTTACTGGATAAATAGGTTATTCTTATAATAATTAATAGTGTATATGATAATGTACAAACATCATACAGTGCCACATATCTGTTTAAAAAAAATTTTTAATGTTTATTCATTCTTGAGAGAGAGAGACAGAGCACGAGCAGGGGAGAGGCAGAGAGAGGGAGACACAGGATCCGTAGCAGACTCCAGGCTCCGTGCTGTCAGTGCAGAACCTGACATGGGGCTCAAACTCACAAACTGTGGGACCATGACCTGAGCTGAAGTTGGACGCCCAACCGACTGAGTCACCCAGGTGCCCCATGAATGCTACATATTTTAAAAACAAATGACATAATAAACATAAGGCTGGTATTTCTATTAAATTTGTGGGTTTCCTTTTTGTCTTCAAATTTGACTAGGCTCATTTGCCATGAGAGTGATCATCTCTGGAACAACATTTCACTCCTCTTCCAAGGAGTTACAAGAGGTTTGTGATTCCCTATTGCTAACAATTTAAAAATAAGTGTTCAGGGGCTCCTGGGTGGCTCAGTCAGTTAAGTGTTGGACTCTTGATTTCGGCTCAGGTCACGTCTCACAGTTTGTGGATATAGTTTGTGGACTTGGTTTGTGGGTTCAAGCCCCACATTGGGCTCTGTGCTGACAGCACAGAGTTTGCTTGGGGTTCTCTCTCTTCTTTTCTCTCTCCCCTTCCACAACTTGCATGCATGCTCTTTTTCTCTCTCAAAATAAATAAATAAATAAATAAATAAATAAATAAATAAGTTATAAAACTGAGTACAAACTTAGATATAATTTGGTTTAAAGTCTCATTTTATTAAAAGAAAATAAGTAGTTTGTCCAATGTCATGTAGCAAGTAATTGGAGGGGACGGGTCTAGAACTTCTTAAAATACAGGTGTTTATAGCATTCAAAATAAAAATTACCCATGAGACATGAGTCCTTTCATATTATTTCTTGCATATTATAACATCACTGAAGGGACTATGTTGAAGTTTGGAAGAATACTTAAAGGTATTGTAACAAAACTACTGTTGGTGGCAATTCCACTTCTTTTTTTTTTTTTAATTTTTTTTTCAACGTTTTTTATTTATTTTTGGGACAGAGAGAGACAGAGCATGAACGGGGGAGGGGCAGAGAGAGAGGGAGACACAGAATCGGAAA